AGTAATACATAATTTGAAGTGCCGTAATTTTCTTTGCAATTTTAGTTTAAATTTGATTTCAAAACGCTTTTTGGCAAAGATACCATTAGAATGTAAATTAAAAAGGGAAAAAAAAGGTATCTTGTAATTTTTCGATTAAATCATTTTTTCTGGTAGAAAACGTCGTCCTTGTTTTTATAAAATAATGAAATCGTAAAATTGTACGTTTTTCTACGTTTTCTTCCCACTTAAGCGCTTTTTTTTAAAAGTGGCGTCAAAAATCAAGAAATGACGTCTATAAAATGCAATCTTAATAACTTGAGCTTTCAGAAAAAGTACTACACTTATATATCGGAGCAAGTTTACTAGGAAAAAACATGCTCACAGACTAGAACAAAGAAAAAAAATAAACTGCATTGTAAAATTAATAGTTTCCTCGCTACGCTCAGAATCTAAAATCGTATTTTTAAATCTTTTTTTTTGGTTTCTTCCAATTATTATAAAAACTACTAAAGATATCAAAAAATTACTATCTCTGTTAGTGGCTAGATATTAAATGTAACAAAATTGATATCTTGTCAAAAGAAAAAAAAGCCTACACAGTAAAACCAATAGATATCTCGCTACTCCCCAAATCTATAATATACATCATAGTAAAACTAATAGATCCCTATCCCTATTTGCGAATCTAAAATAAATCTTTATATTTTTTTTTTAGTTATAAATATGTTATTTTAATGGTCTTGTTCCATTATTACTTATATTAACGGATTGGCTAGAACTTATTTTTACTCTGTTTAGATCTAATAAATATATTCAACGAATTAAATAAATACTATTTTCAAAACATTATAACATAGAATATTATGGTGGATGTAAATGAACGAATTAATTCATCAAATTTGATACACTCTACGTTATCCTGATGCTGCCAACTGTTGCATCATTTCTATACATTAACATCGTAATTTCCAGATATGACATACAATAATATAACGATAAATATCAATAATAGATTGAAGTAATTTTCAATAGGACCGAATGAACATAATTTTTTATTATATAATACTATATGCTAAACATTTAAAATGTATGGACAAATTCAGTATAGTATATAGCCACTAATAATTATAAGCAGTGACCGAGGTTTTCTAAATTAAATATAACATCAAACAATATAATTATAATACAAATTTCAGTAAAAATAATAAAACAATAAAAGAATTTAGTTAGTTTTTTGTACCGGAGGCCGGTTTTTTCTCAGGGTTTCTAACGCGAGACATATAGAAAATCCGACCATCCGTAATTTGCAGCCGAAACCTGAATTCCGTCAATTAAGATTCCGTAAGATAACGAACTGCAGTCGTAATACATAGCATTCTTCGTCTACCCACTTACTGCAATCATCCGAATATCTACAACGATAATTTGTTGCACCTTATACTAATTAAACTGCATATGAATTTTTGTAGGAATTTCAACATAATTTGTTCCAGCGTTGAATATTCGTGATATTTTTTTCATCAACAACTTATTAATAGAAAATTAATCTATAAATAATTCATAAACGTATTTAAATACTAGATGTTCAACTAGGTGCTGTCTTGCCGATTTAATTACCACCTTCATTTTGTTTTACCATTTCAGACCTTTCGATAGATTCCAATGTAGATCATATACACACAAGACTAATCGTTGTCGTTATGTAAATACCACAAAACATACTCGACTAAAATATTATAATTTAGAAAATATATGTATGAATGTATAAAATATTCAAGTAAAGCATAAAGCTTTGGGTAAATCCCTTTACAAACAAAGGTCTAAATTGTATTTCGGAGGTGTTCGAGTGTTGAAGGGTCGAGTGAAAGTAGAAATTATGTGTCCCGGAGCGAGAAACTTTTTAATGTGCCACTGGATGTGATGGGTACACCAGTGTGGTTTTTAAAAGCGATTTTACGACGTTGTAGGGGTGATGAGCACCCATCTAAAGCTGACGAAATTAAACGAATAATTGGCATTTTCGACCCGAAACGGGTTTAACGGTTTCAGTACCTACTAACTAAATTATAGGTCATCTGGTCTTGCAAGACCCACGTTTTTCAACGTTTATTATTACGAGTATATGGAAAATATAAACTATAACACATTTTTATCATAATGAATGTAAGGCTAAAATTAAAATTAAATATAATTTGTTTTTAAATTTACAATGGCTGCATATTCCACAATTACTATGATCTGTGACATTACCTACCTAATCTTTAACTGCCCCAATATATCACCCCAACGTGTTCATCTTTTATTATTTTTAATTCCTCCAACATACCTTTTGACATCAAAAATTTCCTCTCAAACTAACAAAAAAATATAATATTTAACACATTATATTATTTTTTAACTATACAGGCTTTTTAGTTTAAATTTATACTTTTCCTCTTACTTTTTGTATATAACTTGCATTTATATTGTTCATTTCATGCTTCTCGTTAATACCTAAATGTCGAAAACTAAATGTAATAATAAAAAAAAAAAAAAAAAAATTACAATAGCATTAACTATTGGCTCAATAATATGTATTACGAGAAAAACTCTCATACCTTGTTGAATGGTCTGAATTTTTTAAATATTTTAATAATTTTGATTAATATGTTATTTTCAAAACTTATAATATTTTTTTTTATATAAGAATTTTTTTTATCAAATTTTCTTATAATATTATTTGAATAGGTAAAAATTGGAACTCAATGCTATATAATTTTGGGAATTTGGTAAGTTCCCACACAAAACATAGCAGGTAAGCGGATTCATATTTAAGTTCCGACACGAAAAAAATATACCCATATGGAAATTCCTACACGAATAGAAATAATAATTTTTATACAGAATCATTTTCATTTCTTTTTACCGGATAAATCATTCAAAAAATATAGTGAATTATTAAAAAAAAATGCATACTGTTGGAATAAACCCAAAAAAATTAGTGTTAGATTTTGAATTATCAATGTACCAATCAATACAGTTATTTTTCCGACTGCTCACATATATGGATACCGTTTCCATTTGGGCCAAGCTTGGTACCATACAATTCAAAGTTTTAGTTTTGTCCAAGAATTTAATATTGCAAATTATGAATTAGGAAAGTGGCTGATACATATATTTGATTTACAATTTCTTAATCCAATAGAAGATTGTTGGAGATTATTATTTAGATATTACATCTATTCCGAATTCAACTTGAATTTTTATCATCATCATCCTAATATATTCACAATAATCGAAGTTTTGGTTATAAATGTATTTTATTCGTGTCGAAACTTACGTACTGGTTTATTATTTTTCATGTCGGAACTTACATTCGCCCAAATTTTGTTTATCAATACAAAATTAATCGTATTTGTCAATTGATAATAGGTCATCCCTATTTCCGTGAAGACATATTGGCGGATTTATCACTTTACTTTAAATGGGTATCCGACAGTAGATTAGTGGACAAATCTTAATATTTTGTTAAAATTCTTTTTAAAATTTTATAACTTCGAAAAATCGATCCCGGACTCCTCTTTTTTTCCAGTTTATTTTGAAAAAGGCATTTTTTAAACTTCATAAAATTACCCTTCGAAGTAAATGTTGGCTCAGTATGTGATTATGTATGTCTGAAAACAGTGAAATTCGTCAGATAATGTTTTTTTCGTGTTGTACAGCGGTAGTAACACCGCAGTAGGTATTGTACGTGCGTAAGGTTTCTTTGCATAATTTGAATAATATGATCTACGGAAGAAAAAAAACAGTATAGACAGCAGGTGAATACGAGACTAATATATTATTATTATAAGACTATCCCGGAGGTAAAGTGAAAAAACTCACGTTCGCGCGGGAATGCATTTTAAATCAGGCGTGTTAAAAAAAAAAAAAATTACGTACGTACAAAATTATAATAGTAGGTACGTGATTATACAAACAAAAACAAAAAAAAACCCTATTTCATCGATTGTTTAACAATACATTGTATTTTTGTTTAGGTTTTGAACGGAGCGAAGAATGTACCTATTGGTTTTTGGTTTTACTATAATGTAGCTAATGTGGCTAAAATATTACAAGACTATAATTTAGGTACCTACTTGTAATAATATTGTTGCAAATGAAAAAATGGGACGTTCAAAAAAAATATATAATAATTAGGTATGTTTGACGATAAATTGGCTATCAGAGAACTTTAAAAACCATTAAACCTATACCTATACATACTGTAATACGTCATGATTCTATGAATAATTAAGTTGAGAAATTACAAAAACCACGGACCAAGATAAATTTTCCAATTCAAATGGTACAATGGATACTACGCGCACATACGGATTGGTTAAACGATGCGGTAACGATACAGCGGTTTTTTGAATATACACAAACAAAAACCTTCTTGGTATATCAATAGTTACATGAGTGACTTATCTGTGGCATGCGAAATGATTCCGTGGCTTTTTTCCGTTTCGTTTAATTGTGACGCGTATATTTAGAATAGGTACTATTTTTACAATACAAAAGTGCGAATGCTCTCTCGGACGTGAGTCTTTTGTTGGATGTGTCACCGACATAATTATACATAGTGAATAATTTACCAATGCTCCGTGCAGTCTGTTATTAGGTATATTATTATCGTCGTGGTTGTCGTCGTTGTCATTATTATTGTGTCGTGTTTTTTTTTTTTTTTTTTTTATTCACACCTACAACGAACGGCAGGTGGCTGTGGTCGCAAACCGGCGGCCCGCAGTTGCTGCGCGTGGTGTGTACGACGTTACGTAACGAGCGAGCTTGTTGATAAAAGAAATCCGAAGACGCGCGACGTTTTCGCGCTCTATCTACCCGCGGAACGCGGTACTCGATTGTGCCCCGTGCCGGTTACCTCCCACCACCGACCGCGGTATCACGTTGACCACGATCGTGTTCGTCGGCTCGGCGGTGGCGGCCGGCAGCAGCTGAGGTGACGACGACGAACGCGACCCTGGCTAGCGTCCGGCAGTGTGTGCGTGCGTATCGATGCGGTCTGTGTCCCGCACCGCGATTTACTTTTCCCATCGGGAACGATAATAACAACAACGGCGTTTGTGGCCGTAGTGCAGCATTTTTCCACCGATTTTCTTATCGTCAGTTTTCATTTTTACCCTAGCTCGGAAAAACGGCCATGCCGCCGGCCCGACACGTGAACCCGACCGTCCGAAGTGTACGACGAATCGCGACCAGCGCCTCACAGTGATCTCTTACCTGTATATTTATTTCGGAATTTATAGGAATACTGTTTTTTCCGGCAATAATATTATAGTTTGATAATTAAAATATAATGTGCGTCCTACGTGAATCGCTTTATATCGTATAATCAAATATTATGCACTATATTTGATTAAGTGCGTCACGTGTAGTTAGATTCGTATACACAAGCGCATACTCACGTCTCAAATAGTATTAAAGCATTATAATTATTTTCTTTTTACACCGTGTTTGTTATCTGTGGGTACTCCAGTCGCGTCGTTTCCCCTTATCAGTCGTGATACACGATAAAATATAGTGCCGCCGTCGCCGGTGCGACCACCAGCGTAATGGCTGAACTGAACGTGGACTTGACCAGGTTGCCGGAAGATGTTCGTGAGAAGCTCGCAGAACTAGAGCTCGAATTGTCTGAAGGCAAGTACCTTATTGCCTCTGCTTTTACCCCTGCATGACTAAATCACTGCAGTGTCAGTTCTTTGTCCGCGTCGGTCCTTACCGAGGAGCGCCTATTATAGTATAGTACGATAAAGCGTTGCCACCCCGAATGCCTCGGTCTCGACCCTCGCTTTCTACCCCTCCAATTTAATATTCCCCTAGTGATTCATACGCTACAACACCACCGCTTTTCTTTTTTATTTTTTGTCGCCAAAATATCATATCATTCTCTTTGAGGTTATAAAATACACTAGCCTATTTTTAATTTTTGATCAGAGTTATAAAGGCAATAGATGGGGTCTAGATTTGTATCAATATTTATTTGCATTGTACCTTAAATAGGTCCAAGTGGTGAGAAATCGATTTTTTTCAACTACAATTAATGTCTTTATGAAACATTGGTTTATACCTAGAGTGTGTGGGTTTTATGTTTATAAATACAAATATTGTTTAGGTTTGATAATTTGGTGCTTACTATATACCTTCGTCAACAAACAATGCCATTCAAAAAATGAAAACTGTTATCAATGTAATTTAATAGGTACTTAAATTTGTTTAAACACCCTTTTTTACGATGGTGTCAGGAGTATTAATGTAAAAGCACTATCTAAAGTGTATTAATAAATAGTTTTGTCAAAATATTTCTAGGTAGGTAAGTTATAAAGTGTTCAAAAGTAAGAGGTATAAAAGTTTATGGGCTATCAAGAAATTTGAACTTATTTTAGTAGGTAGTTTTAAATATAAATATATACAAGAATATCTACATATCTAATTGTTGGCTATTTACTAATTAGGCAAAGTAAAGTAAAGTAATAAGCTACCTTTAGAGTTTAGTAATTTAAAAATTCTACTTTGTATTTATACTTGTACAAAATGTAACAAATTATAGGTAGGTACCTACTTAATGTTTGTTGAGTTTATAAACATACAAAATTTTTTTTATAAAATTTGTTGCACCCAAACAAAATGTAATAAACGGCTCACATAATTTGTCACAAAGTGGACAATCATTATTTGGTTAGTTAATGAACAATCGCTTAATATTTAAATGAACACCTACATTAGATGATTGTAAACAATGTCTACAATTACAATTTATAACTAGGTAATTCTGAGACTAATGCTTTAATATTTCAACATTAAATATATGTCTCTTTTAATTACCTAGACATCAGAAAATTAGTTTTAATCTACTTTTATGTGAAGAACTTTGATATAGAGGTAGGAAGTACCTTAGTAGTGACTATCAATCTTTATTTATTGTGTTATAAACGGTTATTAATTTATCTTATAGTTCATAATTGTGTATTTATATATATATATATAATTTCATTCATTCATTCATTACTTGTTATTTATTCATACAGTTTGAGTATTATATTAAAAATATGAAATAAAATCTTACTGATTTTCTCTCCCAAATATTTATCGTCAAGTTAGTTTTCATTGTGGATTTTTACAATAGTTATAATTTTATAACATTAGAATTTATCACCTCTATTTATTTTTTTTATCAGATTGATGCTTGGTGTTATCTTTCAGAATATATTGGTTTTTGCATATTTACAATATATTAGGTACTTGTCGATATCCATTTTTACATCTTATTTATTGCATAGTTAAATTTTCACTCAGATATAAATCAAGACAAGATAACGGTAGAGAGAGAGGGGCTTTTGACAATTCATATAAGTTACACATTTATTGTTGAAAATCAAATTAAGAGTATAATGCAATTTAAATGGAAGAGGGGAGGGGTAATTGCTCCTTGGATCCACCACAGATATAAATATATGTTTTATATATATTAGTATACGTGTTAAAAAATTGTAATGTAGATTAATTTTAATATTGTGTCTTTTATTTATATAAAAACATGTGAAATTCATCTGTAAAGACTACCCACCCAATTTAAATACTTCATCCCGTGGTTAGTCCTTTTTGAAAATACTTAGGTAACAACCAGAGTAATAACCAAAGTAATAGTCATGTTTAGTAAACTCCCTTTAAATATATTAAACTTAAGTATCTCTACTGTAGATGGGTAGTCAATTAAAATTATATAACCAGTCTGGTAATTGAATCTGATTACCTTCCTTCTATGGCAGGTAAATGCTCTACAATTGATTAGAATAGAATTACATTTGGACCGTTTGACTAGTATGGGAAATTTATGTTTACTTGTGCTTGTTTCTACACAATTATTTTAGATTATTTAATGTTGAACAAATTAGTTATTAACTAAAATTCAAGTAGAAACTGAGTATATTTTTCGAGATGTTTTTACATTTGATTAGCTCTGAAATTAGCCATTGTTTTATGTAGTTTGAAATAGTGTGTTACTGTGTGTTCATATAGATACCTTATATAATATTATGAATATCTAGCGTTAATTAATTAGGATTATCACATTTTTAAAACCATTTATCTATTAATTTAGTGAAACACTTTTTTAAAAAATTTTATGTTTGCAATTTGAAGATCAATATTTTCGGAAATATGAACATTTTAATTAAAGTTTTAATTTTTCGTAGGGTTGGTAATATAAACGTGTATAAAACGTTTTATATGTTACACGTATAAAACCTATAAAACTTTATATTGACTAAAGACTTTTTTTTTTTTTAAGTTTATTATAATAATGATGATTCTGTACATTTTAAATGTTAATAAGTATTTAAACTTATAAATTAATATAACAAATCACATCAATTTAATGTCAATTTAAATTTAGAATAAACTAAAAACAAAACAAATTTTTTTGTGGTTTTATACAGTTTATAAATATTAATGTTAAGAAAGAATAAAGATGAACTTAGTAATAAATATAACAAATTATCACATATGTCTGAGGTAATTAATATAAGATACATAAAATAATGATTAAATTCAATTGACAATTATTTTACCTAATAATTTCTGTTCAGTTGCAGCAAAAAAAAAAAAAAATTGTATATGGTATAAAACGTATACAACAAATAGTTTTATACATACGTATACTACGTGTTCTATACTTTACTGTATTATACGTTCCAACCCAGAATTTTTTCGTTTATTAATTTTAGGTAGACACTAATACTTGCTACGTTCGTATTCAGTAAGAAACATATTCAATATAGGTATATGTATAACAATTTTGAAGTTTGTATGTTTATTCCGATTATTATCATTATTAAGTATATTAGGACGTAAGTATATTATAATGTTCCAGAAATTAGATTTACAAAAATAAGAATCAAGAATGTAGTTTCCGGTTTTTTCTATATATAACTGAAAAGGTAAACAATTAATCATTAAAATAACTACAAATATTTCAGTATTTCTTTGTTTGATGACTTCGGCTATCTTCATTCAAGAGGAAACTTACTCGCAATAATAATCCCTCGATTTGTTTTGGAAAACTACGTGGAATAGGTCAGAGGAAAAATAATTTTAACTTCTTCAATGGAATTTCAATTGGTAAATATGGTATTTATAAATTGAGAAATATGATATCAATGTATCACTTTCTGGAGAACTACTATTTATAAGTCTGTAAAACTACTTTCTGATACTGTACTAGCTGTTCTTTTCACTTTCTGGAGTTTTAATGTTATCTTCAATCATTTTCTGGAAGAGGTCTTCGTTATTAAATATTTTTGAAACCAGCAATAATTATAGAATTGTATCATTAACATATTTAAATCTACGACTAAACTTTTTTAGTTTAATTTAGAATAATATACAGAAATTTAGTATTAACACATCCTACGCGTAGGTAACCTGCATAAACATGAATTAAAAATTCATGATTTAAAAACTCGTTTGAAATTTTCTATAAATCGTGGAACTTATAAAATTATTTTAATTTGCAATGTAGGTTTAAATCGACGCAGGTAGGTATAAATGCCTGGTACTTACGAATGTAATATTATATTTTATAGACCTATTTTTCGTGATGTATCGAGGCCATGGGTATGTTATAATATGCATTATGCAAGGCCTGCCTATAGATAAAACTAAATTCCAAACCAAAGTGAGTAGGTATACAAAGTATATAGTATTGTTTTTGAATATTTATTTGTATTATAACACGCGAACGCGTTCGCATGTGATAATATTATAAATGACCGAACAACTGTTATTGAATATATTATTATGAATTAGGTACCTACGATTGTTCATTTATATACAAGTATACTGTATGCGGGGGCTATCCCTGCATACGGTTTAGAGTGGAAAGTCCGACCCGTTTATGATTTAAAAAAAAAAAAAACACCCACGACTGAATGTTATTTTTCTATATGAACACTGTATTTCAGGAAAAATATTATAATATTTTGTTCATTTCCATTGGTGTCTCCCCAAACCCAAATCCAGGTATTTGCGGTCCGTAGAATAACAACTGTGCTGAAGAACACTTTCAGCAGGTTTAGTTCTTTGTCTAAGCGCGGGGGGGGGGGGTTGCAATATTTTTAAATATAAATATATTCATGTCCATTAAAATGTTAAATATGTAATTTTGAATACGAAAACTTTATAATATAGTTTACATAAAATTGTCTTGTTCATTTTTAACATAGATATTAAATTATTTTATTGTGTTATCCGTGTTGTCAATCACAATATTAATTTATTATGTTGCATTCACCGTGTCCGTGTCGTGTCATATTGTTATAATATACTTTCAGAAAAAAAAGTATTTGCGCGTAAGTTCAATAAAATGTTTAGGGGCGTCATGGCCCCTATGAGCACCCTCCCCCCCAAAAAAGAACGTCGTCTTTGACGTGCAGTAGTTGTGTTTTTGGATTGTGTGCATTTCTCCGTCAAGCCCAACGCTGTTCCGATATTGTATTTATATATTATTATTATTGTACGAGTGTCTAATGTCCGGTGGTAAAATGCTGGATTCGAATTGCGTGTACATACCTACTATTAATCATCATTGACGAATAAACTCGGTTTAAAATCGACCATAGGTAGTCAATGTCAATTTTATAATAATAATGCGGAGGTACACAGTGTGTTATTTAAATGCAATGGTTTACGACGGCAAACGGACTCTCGTTATACGTCCTAATGAGACCGCCAGTCTGGCATTGCACAGTGTCCTTGATACTTTGATAACAATCGAACATCAAAAATAATAATAACACTAATAAGATCTTTAACAACATAATATTACCTGTATTATAGTAATGGTACGGCTATTGATCCGGGTACTCGATTTCTGTACAATTTAGTGGGTAAATAACTAATAATAATTATAATGGTTATATAATTTATAACATGGAAATACGGTTATAATTTACAAATGATAATAATAATACAAATAAATATTGTGTTCCGAACCAAGTGATGTCTGACGGAGTGCTTTTCGACGATTTATTTTCTGGCCGTACGTGTAATATTATTGAACACTATTTTGTTTGTGGGGGGGAGGGGGGGTAGTCAACTAATAAAGAGGCTGTGCACAAAACAAGTACGACGCTTATATTTCAAAACTTTTATGAATATATTTCTTTCAACTTATAGTATAAGTGTTTTTTATTTTGCGAATAGGTCTAATAATTTTCGCTAAAAAATTAAAAAGTAAAAACATCGAAACAATTCTATAATTGTTTCGATGTTTTTACTAGGGCTTCGTGCAATGACCAGAAATAGCGGCATTTTCGAAACCTTTTTGAGAAACAAAAACAAAATCTTTCATAATTATATTGTATTCGTTATAAAATTGATTAAAAAATTAATTTAGCTATTCATTAGAAAATATTCAGTTTAATTATATAATATACAACTAAACGTTTTCTCTGATATAATTCTTACCGTTTTTTCATGATAATTGAGCTTTTTATAATCTAAAATGCTCGGAATTATCTGGTACCTTGATCAGAAATTTGTAAAAAAAAATGATGACGATGATGGAGGTGAGGTTTGTTTGTCTAGAATTGTGTGTTTAATCCATAGATATAAAATACAAGATAGCTAAGTTGTTATACAACGAGATACTAAATGTTGACGTCATACATGGTGGTCAATGTTTATATTTTTCAATCGCGATTATTATCATTCGTTATCATTTCATCACAAGTGTTTTATCTTAGATTATAGATTATATACATTGTGTTTTATACTAGGTTTTGTTCTTCTACTTAGTTTCTATGTTCTAATGTCGTGCCTTTGTGTATTTTAATTATTTTATATATTATAAATATTATTATAATTATTTACTTAAATTTCATTTAAGTATAATTTACATTTCATTTTTCTCTACAGACTTAAAAAAGTCCAAATTTATTACATTTTGATACTGTTAATGAAATTGATCAGGAACCTATGGACAGAATCCTATTAGTATACTACTTAGCTATAGACATTTACTAATTAATGAGCAATGCCAAAATAAATATCAAACAAAATACAACAGTAAAACATATTATTATCAAGCTGTAATAAGAAAATTATGTAAATATTGATCTTTACGCATATGGTGCATTCTATTTATTTGGTTTTATAACGTTATAATTTCCATACACGAATAATAGAATACGTAAAAAAAAAATATGATATTAAATTTCTCTATTGAAAAAATCAAAACACGAATTTCGCCAAAAAGTGCAGCTATTATTATACTTGTTATTGCACTTTAACGCATAAATTTATTGTCGTGTTTTCAATTCAGTCGAGAGAAGCAAAAAATGCGCTTAACGGCATATCGAAGTATTGGTCATCGAAGCCTCTATTTTTTTTTTTAAGTTTCTATTTTACTACGATGCGATTTTTTTCTGTCAGAACTATTGTTCCGATTCTCAAGTGGTTCACGTATAGCGGATTTTCTGAAAGAGCAAATTGTATCCAGTTGGGGGATTGAGAAGTAAATTTTTTGATTTTTCAAGCGATTTTCGCAATAATTAGGAAGAACCTAGAAATACTGGACAATTTATGAAAATGACTCTTTTATTATTCTGATTTTTTTTTTTTTTGTTGTAATTCAGTTAAACATATTCGTAGAGACTTGAAATTTGAACAGTAAAATGATTGCATTTTCGAGCTATTTATAGTCATTTAAATGTTGCAAGTTTTTTTTTGTAATTTGTATTCTGTAGTCTGTGGGTACAATTGTTAGACCAAACAAAAATCTCTGAAAATTTAACAGAAGGTTCATTATAATGATAAAGTGTTATTTTGTGCATGTCAAAAAAATTACTAAAAATTGAGTTTTATGTAGTATTTTTTTTTTTATTAAATTTTAATGAAAATCGTTTTTTCGAGCCTTACGTTATTTTTTCGTTTTAAAGCGGCTTTTCAAAACACATATAACCGAAATTTGTTTCGAATCGTTTTTCGTTAGCAATAGCTTATCGTTCCGGGAAAGCATCGCGAAAAATCCTCCGCGTCGGTTTAAAAGACGGCGGCGCGAGGATTTATTAAATCCCAATTTTAAATTTATACCTCGAGGGTTCTGTCACCGGACAGCTTTCCTCCTCGCGTAAGAAAATTCACAGCACATTCGCTTATCGTACATAATTTAGTACGATTTGTACATTTTTCTATATTTTAATAAAAAAACAAAAAAGTTTACCGTGGCGAATAACAAACGGGCAGGTTACGGTATACGCGTTTTCCTCGGTGCTGCGCGCAATTAAGAGTGCTGGCTGCGTGTATACGGTAATCTAATAATATTATATGGATCCGAGCTGCTTAATTTTTTTTTCTGTACGCGATCGGCTGTATCATCGGCGTAACGCAATACAGGCACGCGCGTAATTTGTTTTTACGCGCCTCCTACACACGTTGTGTTGTTATTATTATTATTATCATCATCATCATCGTGTAATCGTCGGCTATAGCATCGTATAATCGCGGAGGAAAAACGAAAATCGCACGAGCGCAGCCGCGGCTTTCGGACCGTCTAAAGGATCTATCAGTGGCCGCGCGCGTTAAAACCTAAAAGCAATATTACAACATTATAATAATAATAATAATAATAATAATAATAATAATAGTAATAATAGTAACAATATTGGATCGTTGAACGGTCGTCTGTCTGTCTTCTGACCGCTCTGCAGCACGCACGGTATGTACCGTGTAATATTGTTGTTATTATTATTGTAGTGCTATAATATTATATTAGGTATCTATCCAGATTTTCGCCCCCCCTCTTTTTTTTTTAAACGCGCGTACGAAAACTCGACTTCTCCGCCGCGTTGGTGTTTTTTTTTTTTCCAGTAAACATACGATATAGTGATATTACGCGCGTATACCGAGCCAGATTATTATCGACCTGTTAACCCGGAATGGTTTTTCGTTCGGATATAATTAGAATATTATATCGTCTCGCGCGTTTTGTATATTACGACTCGCGACTTCATAGCGCGGTTTATTATTCGTCGTACACCCATATAATATTACATTATACACTATACTCTATACTAAAACGAAACCTCGTCGTTATTAAGTCTGTTCTGTTTTTTTGTTTTTTTTTTTTTTGTTCCATTCTAATAACGTTGCGTATTGTTAGCCTTGTTTTTCTCGCGTCTATTTATTTTGGGTAAACCACTCGACAACGACGGCGACAAACTAAAACGTTTCACTCGACGCACGTCTTGTGTGTACAATTATCATTGCCATTATTATTGTTATTATATTGTATTTTGAGAAGTACTTAGGTGTTTGTGTGTGTTTTTTTTTTTTGGCGTGCTTATACGTCACGAATGTAAATACATCGTCGAGTATAGAATACAGTGAATCGCGATCGTATTTTTATCGTCGACGGTTTTCTAAACCGTTTTGCGAAAATATTGTAGCATTCAAAGCCGATTATAGGTATTGCTCGATAATTCGATATTTATAATGTATTAGAGCTGATATAAATTGAATTGTAGGTAAATTATTTCCAGAAAATATACGTGAATTTAGCACCTGTGACTTTGTTTCTTCTCGAACTATAATGTGGTTTTTTTGAAAATTTACTTACCGAGTTACTCAGTGTCGTTCGTGATATAAACATTAGAGTTAACCGGGGCTGGATAAAGAAGGGGTTGTGTCTTCGGACCGCAAAGTGAAGAAGGTTACAAGGTTTTGTCGCTTTTTTTTTTTTAATGTTTTTCCACTCAGAAATTTTTTTTGGTTAGTAAATACGGTACGATGTTTTCGTGTCGTACCTTGTAAAATACTGATTTTTTGACTGATGGCACTCTATTCGAAATAGGAAATTTACCCCTATATCTTTGTTATTTGTTTTTTTTTTTTTGAAATTATAAGTACCTCGTATCGATACCTTAATATCAAAATACACTGAATAAATTTAAATTTAAACAAAAAATATGTTGAGTAAAAGGGCCAATAGTATAACACTATACAGCCTCCTACTGGACTATGACCGTAATCCGACCCTGGAGTTAGTTCCACATTTTTGTTCGAGAACGCCGAAATTTATTTTAAATCCGGGTTAACTTATGACACAAGATAAATAGGTAGGTATAGATAATCATTGATAATGATACTTATCACGCAGTGATGATAAACCTCATAATATTTCTATGGTTAATTTGTTTTTTTACCTACAGTTCATTTTCAATACATCTATTAGTATTTTCTTAATATTTTTGTCTGATAATAATAAGTTAACTATTTTCGATTGTTAAATAAACAAATTTAAATATTTTAAATATAATATTATTTTAACATAAATAATAATCATCAAATATTATCGTCAATCATTCGGTTATTTAGGGCAATCTGATTTGGAGTTCAGTTATTTGACTGTAGAATAAAAGTAAACTCTACTTGCAAATTTTCGAACGCATCCCTTCTATTTCATTTATTTCGAAAACCAAGTACCGCCATAATATTAACTGGACAGTTTAAACGGAAATCGAATAAATTAAAATAAACTAATCCGATATGAATTATAATTATATTTAGTTTTCATATAATTTTTATTAAGAAGTACCTACTTAAATAAATATTACAGCATAAAATAAAACATTCTATTTTGTATCGAATAGAGTAGGTGGGCAGAGTTAGTTGGTATTCGAAAATTCATAATATTGGTTGGACAGACTCGGGATACAATAGATTTGACTGGGATTTTGATGCCCTTTACATTATTTTTCAAAATTTGTTTCGTGAACTTTTGAATGAAAATAAGAAGTTGTATGTTACATTTTTGGATAATTTTTTAATCATTCTTTTCATTGTTAAGAATATTTTGAGGTTTTAGGGACATTTTTGAAGGATTTAAATTCAACATTCAAATTTGACATTTTATTTCAAATCTTAGGTACACGTTAAAATGTATATGTATCTAACAAACTATTAATTCGTTTTATATTATCGGGGCTGAAATTTCCTGTTCAAATAATTTCTTAGAGAAATAAAATACCGTTTAGTACGAGTTTTTAGATTAAAAGTCTTAAGTTCAATAATTTGAGTTTTGTCAAGAAAATAGAAATATTTTTAAATCATTTTCTTTTATGTTTTATTTAGAATATTTAGGACATACAAGCGGTTTTTAGTGTTTTATAGAACATTACATTTCTAGTCCTAATAATATTATAAGCATATGAACCTACTGCGATTTTCAATATTATACACGGACGCGAATGTGTTTAATTCGTATTTCACAATTCATACAATAACCTGTATAATATAATATTTATAGATATGACAATAATTATATTATTATATTTCACGATTTTACATTATGCAAGTTTACGCGTATTTATAATGTTAAATTTTAACTAAACTTTATGAGTTTGATATTACGTTTGTAGTAACACAATAACGAATATACAAATCTATTTTAAGAGGACGCTACAGTGCCACACGCGAATTTACTACTGTCACAGTCTTAAAAACGTACGACAGCAAATTTGCGTCCAGTAGAACAAATTTACCGCAGTTAGTTTTAATATTAAAATGAATTAGTTTATTACCAAACTTAAAGGTAAGAAGATTATTTGTGCTCTAGCATTGATGTTTTTTCGATATTTTTATTTTTAAGCGAGATATGCGTATTTGAAATATCACAATTCACGAATGATCATATCTCGCTTAAAAATTAAAATATCGAAAAAAGATCTATGCTAGATCCCAAATAATCTTCTTATATTTAAGTTTGGTATAATTAATCAATTTATTTTAATATTGAAACTAACAGCTCAAAATTTGAATTACTGAACTCAAATTTGCTATGTTGCACGTTTGTAAGACGAAGACTGTAAATACTGGTGTAGCGTTTTCTTAATTTAAAATAGTAGAATAATATAATTATTCGTTTTCAGAGAATTTTTATTCTTGTTTTTATAAAACATTTTTCAAATTGAATATTATTGATACAATATCCAAGAAAAAAAATGCAAACGTCGGTAAGGTACCTAAAATATACCGTGTACATAATCAACATATTTGCCTATATTATGTATTTACCGACCAGATATTTACAAACATATCGTTTGGTACTACTAAAATTATTTATCAGCTAATTAACCTTATCTAATCAGTAAAACAGTAAAACTGTTACTTCATACATATTGCTCTAAAAATTACGAGCGTGAACTCGTTATAAGCTATTATTATATATACAATAAACTTCATCGATTACATTAATTTATTTATATTTTTGATTATTATTAGAAAAATAAAAATAAATTCGGCTAAAATGGTGGTACTTATTACGTGTCTTTCGTTTGAAATTATTTTGACAATATCTCCAAAACTTCATTTAACTAATTACCTGTAATTTTTAGTTTATAAATAGAATCGTATTGCGTATAGTATCGAAATTAAGAATTATTTTTAAGAAGTATCTCATTTAGATATATATAATTCTGTATGAAATAAAATATTGTTTAATATATCTTCCCTTTGTTTATTTCTTCCTAGATAGTTTAACTTGTATATAATATATAAATCTATTCGTATCTATTACTTAGATTTTAAAAATGAAAAACAAAAAACAAAATGCTGCATTTTTACAAATTCATTACACGGCTTTTTTTTTATATTTAGATTTTTTTTTTAAAGTTTCATATTGCACAACAACGGCGGTTAAATTAAAACCTTAAAGGTGTAACCTTACATTATTCAGTTCCATAAGCCCAACGGTGTTCTATAATTCGGAGTCCGTAATCCTCGTCGACGACGGTTCGTGACTATGCACTGACCATTATTATCGACCCGGTCTTCAATTTACATTATATAAAAAAAAATATCAATAATAATCATTTCCTCTACCGCACGTGTTTTGAATCGGATACGATAATATGATACATAATATACGATAATATTATATATACAGGGGTCATAGGAAAGGGTGTTTTTTTTTTCAAAATATTAGGTGTGTAGCCGACTGATCAATACATATAGGTTCAATTTAATTGTGTTAACAAATTTCATTCGTATGATTTTATAAGTTTTTTTTAGTGTTTATAGTTAGGTTATAGGTTTGATTGAAACCGGACTGCAGGGAATATCTTAATAATATTACGTTTGATGTGCGAAATAAGGGATGTATTAGTTTTGCTATGGCGTGTTATTATTATTTGTTTTTTGTGTGTCTAAATAACATTTCTACCGAAAATCTTGCTCCAAACAGTAATACTTTTAGAAATTATTTTGTAGAATTTTTGATTTAGTTCGTGCATCGTAGATGTGTTTATTTTTATTTTCTTTATATATGGAAAAAAACTGGAAACGTTTTGTTGATTTCTGAATTTCTTTAACGATAACAACAGAAAAAATATGATTAATAATACTTTGCTCACAATAGTTTTTCTGAAATACGGTTACGCGCAGATATAAATTAAATTTCTATATACATCCGTCCTTTCAACATTTTTCTAAATATATAATGTGTATGGAATGAATATTTAAAAATCGATTGGAAAATCTAACGGAATTATGTTTTAAATTTAGATTACATTTTTCATAATAATCATTTGTTTTAATCATTCAACAATTATTACTATTAGCGTTCGAGTATCTACGAAAATTAATATAAAACCACACTGATTAATAATTGTTAATAATTTGAGAATATTATTATCTGTTGTTAGAATTTATGTTAGATAACAACTGCTATACAAATTATATTAATTTATTAATTATTATATTTTATTTAATTATACAAATTTCATTAAGTATTATTATTAGTATATAAAATTGTTACACAATATTATATTAAGTATGTAATAAAAAGACGCGGTACTTGCATGGTTCTTTCTCTGTCTTATGAACGTACTCATGTTGTATGCGATTAGCATTATAAAATTGTGATGTTTCACATACTCAAAACTATCTTAAAAATTAAAATATCGAACAAATACCGCCAACGTTGCACAGATCATGTTCTTATCTTTAAGTTTGATAATAGGTCAATTCACTATGATATAAAAACTCACATCACAATGTTGTTCGACGCAAATTTGATATGTCGAACGTTTGTAATATTACATGCAGATTGCAGTTATTTTGATTTTAATAATATTATGATATACTTGTACAAATTCCAGTAAAAAGTTTTAATTAAATCGCATTTTGATTTCGTTTTTTTGTATTGATTATTTATTAAAATTAATAATTTAACAAACTTAATGTAGGTATACTGTATTGGAATATTAATATTTGTTATCATAACAAAATTTTGTGTAGAACAATAACACGTAAGTAGTAGAATTTACCATAGTCAGGATTATGGTCAAATTACATATTTTACCTAAATTAAATGGTCAAACTATACTTGGGTGTTGAAATAAGTTTTAAGAACGCTCATTTCCGTTCGCGCTTAAGGTTCTACTTGACAGTAGACAGTTACTGCACCCGTGTACTAGTAAATGATAGTAAAAACAGTAACTCGGATACTCGGTACTGACCGACTCGCACAAGACAAGTAATTCGTATGATATGACGCGGTCACACAATTTAAGTAGCTGCACTGCAGTAACTGAATAGGTCAACTCGGGTGTTAGGTCGCACTGTGTAACCAGACTTATCACCATATTATTTTGATCCGGGTGAATTTTTATTAAAATTCGACTAAAATTTGAGCAATTTGAATTGGAGGCGCGTAAAATAATGGAAAATATTTTGTTGGAACCGTAATTTTTCTGAAAAATATTTTATAGAACCGTTTTCTGTTAGAAACGTACTTGGTCAGAACCGTATTTGTCGAAAAGTTTTTTTTCGGAAATATAATTAGTCGGTAATATTTTGTTCGAAACTTTATTTAGTCGGAAACCTATTTTGTCGGAAAGTTTTTTTCGGAAAATATGTTGTTAGAACCGCTTTTTTTCGGAAAATAATTTTTAACCAACAGCGATAACACGAAGTCATGGAGTGTTTATGATGAAATTATATTGAACTAGTTCCGATAAAATACTTTCTAATCAATTATTTTTCCAACAAAATACTGTTCCAACAAATTATAGCCCTCCTTAGAATTTATCTGCTATAGTTTTTGTACATTATTCTAATTCGCTGTTGTACCTAATAGAAGTATTTATTTTAGAATCTTAAAGTAATTCGAAATTTAAACTAGATAGGTTTAATGTTTTTGTTTTATTACTTTTACTGTAGAATAAAAATTGAGGACAAATAATGTTTTTTTTTTTTTTTTTTTTAATGCATTTTAGTGTTTTAAAAAAGTTCACATAATATTATTTTGTGTTGTTCATATCAACGTGTTTCGAGTGCATTTTTAAGTTTTTTCTGTGTATATTACGTCAAATGTAGTATTCATATAATAATTTCTACGCCCTATATTATTGAAATGTAAATAATAATATTTTCGGCTTACTTGAAACATAATATTATAGCATTATATCATATATTACGGATAGAGCAATGACATAGAAGCGTTTAAAGACAACATTAGCGATGAGTCTTTAGCGAACTGACTTCTATTCCGCGCGCGCCAGAAGACCCGTCGCACAGTTATCGTATATTTGTCACCGTGATACCATCGTATTCTGCATTCGTGCATTATGCCGTTTTTCAGAAATCACATTTTATGTTCCCAATTTCACAAGAATTCGTGTCTTTTTCCCGAGTTTTATTTAGTTTTTTTTTTTTTTTATAAATGCCTAATAAATATTCTATATACACAATTTCAAAATCTAACATATTTTACGTTTTGTTATCCATATCACAGAGTATGAACAAGTGATATAAACTACGCATAGCTTCTGTTTGCGCATAAAATATGTTGTCTTCAAATAATTCGACAATAGCCTTATCCATAGTATACGGATTATGAGATCTAAGATTAAATTGCAATATACAAGTTTAAACGGTGATGTACTAATCCATAATATAGCAATAATCAATAGTATAAATTATTAATACTCAATTAATCATTATAATTTATTAATACGTATATTGATAATATTAAAACGTTACTGATTCAGCAGTTGCACTTTGAAGAAGTGTGTCAATAAAGTTATACAAATATTCCTTAAGTATTGTGTTTTCTATAATATAATAAATTTATTATAAGATTCTATTTTTAAGAGGACGTGAGTGATACCCGCATATGTGCTGTCTCCGTCATACATAGTAAATTTACACCCAATAGGGACAACATTGTACAACAGTCATGTCGCCCATTACTGACTTGCAAATAACGCAACGATGAACCATTGTAATGTTAAGTAATTTTTTTTTTTTTAATAATGTAAACATAAATTAAATATTAATATTATATTAAAATTAGTAACCAAACAATTAACCACAGTAACCATTGTGGTATGAGGCAGCTTTACGAGACAGAAATATATCTGCTCTCTAAGAACGCAGTAGCTTATGTTGAATCCATAGTTTTATTCTAAGGCCCATTCATTCTTTATTATCTATGGTTTTAATATAAGAGCGATGTGACTTATTTCCAAATATCAAGATAAGAACATTGGCGCTATTTTATCGATGTTTTAATTTTCAAGCGAGATATATATAGTATTAAATTGTGATATTTTATATACCGAATTAATAAAATAGCGGCAATGTTCCACAGATAATGTTTTTATCTTTAAATTTGATAATGGATCAATCCACTTTTGTATTAAAACAAAAAGTACAATGGTGCCCTTGCTGAACGCACATTTCCTATATCGACGTTTATAAGGTGGATACAACACGTCATGAGTGTATCACGCTCTCTTAATTAGGCATTCGAAATAAATTGATATTCAGATATTATATTTTTACATCTTAACGAAGATGAAAGCTTCTTAAATGAAACGTTCGTTTGTTTTTCTGCAGGGCCAAGTTTGCTCTCGAAAATATTTGTACTCATTTATTAATCTGCCAGTTAATTTGTTTCAGAAACGTTACGTCTTCCATTTATATATTATTATCTTGATATTATTAATAAATAAATAAACAAGATTGCGTGTAAATAACTAATTCTCCGAGGTATTTACGAAAACCCACGAAAACATTGTTTTCTCGTATTGTAATAATTAATTGTGTACTATAAATTTTATAATTATATAATTAATACTTAATAATTAATAAAATTCTGGTCAATATGCTATACTATACAAAATGAAAATTTCGAAAATATTTCCGTTTATTTATAAACTATAATAATATTATCTTTGTAAGCATGTTTTTGTGTACACCCGTATGCGCTAGACAAGCCAGTCAACGAGGCGTGTTATAAGACTATATTAAGTATCTATATGAAATTATTATTACTACGGATTATTATTATTATTATTATTATTATTACATCTTATTTTAAATTTTCAATTGGTCATAATATTGCGAGGAAAAATGAGTTAGCCAATGGACTTATTAGACAACGCAGCATATCAGATATATTCCTATATATTATAATGAACTAGATTGTTAACTGGTGGTAAGACGTGGGAATTTTCCTATCCGCCGCTATTTAATTCGAGGTTCATGAGTCTTATCGTTCCATTTTAAATCGTGATAACTGTTGTATTATTAAAAATCACGGTCTTGGTCACCGCGGTAACAATGGTAAGTAGAATGACACAATACTATACGATAATGCCCATGAACCTGGAATTAAATTATTGCCGTGATGCTTTAGCCAAAAGCAATGCGGTGTGACAGAGCAACCTAGTTTATTATATTATTTTTATTTGCAATAGAAAACTTATCAGCGTCGGAATATTGGATTCCCTTCTACATTATCGCGACTAACGAAGCCCTGTCGTCGTAGTGGCGTCGCTCGTGACAACCGAGTAATATAAACAATTGCTCAATAACGGTTTTCCATAATAGTAGTATGAAACTAAAAAAGTATCCTCGTAAACAGGGGAAACTAGAAATCGATACGAAAATATAATATTCACTCGTAAATTTCGAAATTCAAAATCCACGATTGATCGATTATCTTATAAACTTTTTTCAAAAATCAACGTTTACGTTGGCGAGACTGGGCCTAACTAAAACGTAAGGAATTATATATTTTTTCTTTGAAGTTTATAATTATTATAATTTTAAATTGTATTAAGTATTTAAACTTATAAATTAACATATCACATTAACTTGGTGAATTTTTTTAAATTTAGAATAAAATAAAAACAAAACAAATTTCTTTTTTGTTATAAATGTTAATATAGTTATTAATAAATAATAAAGGGAAATTCAGTAATTACCTAATATAACAAATTAGCATATATATTAAGTAATTAATATAAGATATAAGATACTTAAAATTATGATTAAATGTCTGTGGTAATCACTTAACAATATCAATTGACAATTATTATACCTGATAATTGCTATTCAATAAAAAAACTTTATATATATATATACAGTATAAAACGTATACTATTTGTAGTTGTATATACTATACGATTTATACTTACCTGTATTATACGTTCCAACCATGGTTTTTATTATATTATTAATCTACTTACCTTTTTGATCAACAACCATTATAATTTTATCATTTACAATACTAAACTTGTAAATTAAAATGTTTTTTCCGGTCTAGTTGCGTTGTCTGCGTTGTCTGATGCGTTGATTGGTGCAAAAATTAAAGTATTCCATTTTTTTAGCTACTCCTATTTTTTATGAGTTAGAGGAATAAATTTGAAAACGCGGGGAAGTCGGTCTCAAAAAAGACTTGACGACAGATTCAAATCTGTTTCCAGATTAATCGGTATGAAAATACGTCGTAAATTTCCCATGTTGCGCTTGTGTTAGACACCAGACGGAAAATCATAGTTTTCAATCCCCTTAGTAATGTTACACATCACAAACATACCGTATTATTGTGATTGTATATGACTGGAGATTTGACTTTGTAGTCTTATAATAATGACAATAATAATAATTTGATGTGTGTTTTTAATTGTTCGACCGTTGAAAACTTAATTTGAAAAAAAAAAAAAAAACGTTACACTTACGTTTCGAAGTGAAGTATTTATTATATGCGTAAGCAATAATAGTATTGAATAGAACCAACATAATATAATATATTGTAACGGTGACTCATCCGATGTACGGGTAGCGTAGTTTTTTTTTCAGACAACCGGTTTGCTGTTGTGACCAATAATATATAGTGATATTTCACTTGCCCCATCACAATATCTCCCGAGTGTTGTTTGGTTTTTTTTCTCATAATATAGATCCGACAATGCCCTCCTATACATATACATTATATACACAGTATACGGCCGAAATACATCCGGTTTTTTAGCTTGACGATAAAAATGTCATATTACGTATACAGTTTCTTGCGACGATAAAATTATGTATATGTATACGTCAAAAAATATACTTCTCGATCGATTATTATAAATACAAAATCGTATTATTAGAATAATTTACGTTTATCGAGTAGGTTGTATGGATATGACGATTTATGGCGTTCTGCAGGCAATGAAGATGTCGTGTACACGCACAACTGTATACTATTATGTGGCACCTAAACGTCGTCGTCGTGATTAAAAATAGTAACGTTTTCGAAGGGATGGTCTGTAGTCGTGGTTTACTCCTCGTTTTTTTTTTATCATAATATTGACGTCACGTCTCAGGTATGCATTCAAGTAGCTATACACACGCATGATCGTCCTTGGCATCAGTTTGGTGTGAGGGGAGGAAACAAAGAATATGTACAAGTACCTATAGACCTAACTATATGTATATGTATAGTTGCGATTGAACGTGTTTAATATAACTCTAAAAAAAAAAAAACGTTTAGACATATCGTATATGTAGCCGTTTACTACGGTGTTAAACAGTTGTAAAACTTGTGATTGTGCAGCTGGAACGCTTGTTTTTTAAATAAAAAAAAGTTGTTTCGCTTTTATTTATAACAAGACTACCTATAATAATGATAATACGTAGGTTTGGATAATAAACAAAATATCGTTTTGTATACCTATCTCGTGTTGAGTTTTGACGTGTGGACTGAGTAGACTTTTTTTTTAATCAGTTGTTATTATCGGCCGTCAGTTACACCCGTCGTCGTTTCAAATTATTATTATAAACTTCTTAGGTACGGTACACGATACGATAAACTTATCAATTCCAGTCTAGTAAAGCGAGTGTTCCAGGTTTTCGTCCAGTAAAATGTACGAAACTTACTTAATCGTGTATTTGTATAGTATCTGTTATGATCACTAATTTTTATTTTATTCGTTAATACAGTGTAATTTTGTAATTTTATATTCCATATTATGGTTAATGTTGTATTATTATAATTGGGTGATATCAATTATTACAAAAACATAGATAGCATATAGGATGATCGTAGAACGGGAAAACGCTATTTCAAAATATGAATACTATATTAATTGTTCATTCCTTAATGTACTTAAGACTTCAAACTATGTATTCGCAAACTTATAATGTTTTGTGGTTTAATTTTGAATTTGTTTTCAATAACCATAGATAGATAAAATCAAATATTAATAGAAACGAGTTCTTGAGTAGGCGACTCCACTCTATATAATATTCTCCTTCTGGATTTAATTTTTATTTTAACTTAGCGCAATTTTATCGTTTTAAAAAATATATAGAATAACAGTCCTCCTTTACGTTCGGTATTTGCTATCGCGTGTTCTGTATCGCGAAAGTAGTAACTACCATCACGTTTATCGCTTTCATCGTGTGGCTGTTTGTCACGTCCTACCTATGTGTATTTTTTCTTTTAATATTAAATTAGTTTAAATATGGAGCTCGGGTTTTAGTTCGAAAAAAAAAACAATAAATAACTGTATATTATAATATGAGTCATAGTTGTACGGCCGTAATGAGTATTATAATATTTTATAATCGGTACCTATCAGACCGTCTGAAAGCCGTGTCGAATATTGACTCGGAGAATATTGCTATAATAGAGGCATAACTACTATAACGTCGTATAATCCTTAATAATTTTTACGTATTTATAGATAGGCGGGTACTTAAATTGAATTTGAGTCGGCACTATACTTTCGGTCGGGCGTAAATGATTTTCTGTGGTCAGAAATCGAACGAAAGTCGAGTACAAAACGCAAATTCAATTATCTTGTAATCGATTTATCGGCATTTTTTTTTTATTTTTTTTTTTTCACGGCGACTACACCACCTACTAACAAGCCGGTGATTATTTCATCACGAACCAGCTAATAATAATCCACGAATGTTTCGGGTTGGTAAATTTGATTTCGTTTTTTAAATATATTTTTGTATTTTTATTGTCAGTGTTCGGTATACATAAACCATAATAATATTGGTAGTAATAGGTACACGTGTTTCTTTGTTGTCTTGAATTTTTCGCATACCATATGCTCCTCGCCAGGTTATACGAACCGATACACACCGCCGCTGTCGTCGTCGCCGCCGCCGCCGCTGCCGCCGGTTGAACGATCCTTTAAGTATACAAAAAATAATTATTTATGCACAATATATACGAGCGTATAATTAATAAATGGTGCGTGTCGCTATAAAATATCGGCTCGGCGTTCAGATTAACAAATTTCAATTATCTACACTGGTTAATAATAATAATAATACCTGACTAATTATTGTCCCCCGGGAGAGATACGAAAAATCTTCCGGTGAAGTAATAATAATAATAATAATATTATTATGAGAGAAGACCGTGGTAGCTGCCGTATTATAGTATTCCTTTGTCGTAAAAACGCGACGGTGACGAGAGAAGACGAGAGGGAAACATACACGTGCACTAGTAGCGGTGGCAGCAGCTCTTCGCACATCATAACAAACCGTATTAATACTTAACGACAATGGATAACGGACCTCCATTATTCGCGTATAGTTGGGTTTTTATTATGAAACACTGTGTCAACGGAGTACGTCGTCGACCGTATAATACGAGTAGGCACTACTATATATTATAATAAAATAATAACATGTTTTGAAGAAAAATTGACGAAATTCATGCCCGGGTCCGGTGTTATTCAGAAAAATAATACGGTCTTCGGTCACGGAGACGGGTTTACAGGTTTTCTGCAGCGTAGTATACGTTTACCTGCTTACAGCGGTGGTCAATGCTGTCTATATTATATTATTATTATATTCAGTCGGTATAGTGGATCCATCATGATTAGTGGGGCGTTTCACGGGTTAAAAATAAAATTTCGTTTTTTTTGTTTTTTGTTTTCTTTTTTATGCCTCGCCCCGCTTAAAAGCCGTTAATAAATAAAGTATTACGGTGCATCCGAATTGTACGCCAAAAAGATAAATACAAATTGGAACGTCCAAATGCCACCACTCACATCAGAGGTCTGTCCGAATCGCGTGCAGTGTTTAAATTTACTTATCACAACTTAATTTTTTAATTTAGACTTCAAATATTTTAAAAACCAAAAATAATAATCATAAAAAAAAACATAAAGTTTATTTAGTCATAAATTTACCGGCTTTTTATTAATTACTGGATTACAATTAAATTTAAGTGATATATCCTTCCCCATTTTTCGTAGCTTTTTATTTCATCGTTGATATGAAAGTTACACAAGGCACGTGATTCGGACAGACATCTGTAAGTGGTGGCATACTATTCGGATGGACCCCCTCTAATAGATGACATGCAATTCGAATATATATTTTTTTGACATGAAATTTGAGTGTCGCTAAAATAATGATATTTTCATGTTTTTAGTATAATCAGGAAAAGTCATCAGGTGCCGAAATGGACTCAAACTTAAAATATAATCGTATTTTTCTTTCGAAGTTGTTCATATCAATATTTTATATATTAACCGCTTTTAATAGGGTGATGCAGAAAAAATAACGAAATTTGATTTTTAACCTTTAACAAGGGACACATTAATGACTAATGAATTGCGTCTTTATAACTATAAGTTCTATAAGGTTGGTATGATGAAAAAATAAATAAATAAAAGAGTACATATATATTTTTTTGAAAATTAAAATGATAATGTATAAGCAATCAGTCGATGTCCGACTCGCGATAATATTTTAGTATTTTTTTTTCTTTATGAAATTCGTTTTTTTATCATTACAACGGTGTATAGATAGATGCGTAATATACAGATTGTGCGTAGAAATATGACAAGTCACGTGATTATAACATTATATTAAATGCTGTTTCGGTGAAAGCCAATATCGCGAGAATATTATAGGCTTATAAATATTGTATACAGGTCATCAAGTCAGTATTTCAATATACATATATACTATATATTATGTTTAAGGCCTAAGGCGAGGAATGATTTCAAGTCGAGTGCCAAACATACCTAAACGTTAAAATGAGAATGTATATTTTCAAACTTGTAAATTTATACTATATTGAGTATATTATAATAATTTTATTATAGAATATCAACTCGACTCGTCTGAAATTACGAACTAATACGGTTTTGGTTTACTCGTTATACGATATTATTCTAATATGGTATTATAATATTATACTATGTGTGTGTCGTAAAAAAGTTTTAAAAACATTTTGCGATGCGCAGGAATGTTTTACTATGGCGCGTTTTCTTTTTGCGTCAACAATTTTTTTTTTATCAGAAGTCTCGATCAAATCAAAACCGTTATAGGACCTTTATTTTAGCATTTTTGATTACTCGGCGCATCTTTGGGGAGGTCATATTTTGACACGTTCTTGTGTTTTTTTTTTTCGATAAATAGAAAAAACCGGTAACTTTTTATGTACGTTTTTTTGTCGATTTCCGGATTACCTGTGGGGTAAAAAGGGGAAGTACATGGCTATAATAATAATACTCTGTCCAGAATCGTTTATCGTTAACAACGGTTTATCGCTGCGCACATAGATACACGCGTTAAATAACCCTATAATGTAATTTGTCGTATCCGTTTCGACTTTTCTCCCGAAACAGTGACACACCGATCGACAGCTATAGTCTTTTTTTTTTTTTTTTCTTGAAGAACTTTTTTTAAACCCAGACGCGATACATATTAATTTTATACTTATTACACGCCGTTGTCGTGTGTGCGCGTAGCGAAAACCCCTCTGCAGACACCACGTCGCTCGGTCTTGCCAATTGTCACCAATTATACTGCTATCTTATAGTCGCGCAGGCCCACGCCCGTATAATGTGGCCGCGACGCCACTTATATGTACTGGTAAAATTTATTATGTATCTAATATATTATTCACATATTATTATTATTATTATTATTATACGTGTACGCACAGAGCCAATGACCTTATAGGTTCTTCGGGTCAAACGAACGTTATTACACGATATCGTCACGTCACCGTCACTATAGTAGTAAAACGTTTCTGTACCCAAGCCGCGGCCAATGTAAATTCGGTTTCTAAAAAAATTATTTGTATTATTTGTTTAATATGAAACAAATGGTGGTGCTTTCGTTATAAGGATCGAACGTTATGAACTTCAACACGTGAAAATATTGTATTTTTTTTTTTTTCATTAATAATCAGATGTATTCTATATATTATGTCTATACTTATTATAATAAATTCCGAGTATACCAAAGAAGCTATATTATAAAATATTTTTTTTTCCGGAAAACGTTTTCATTAACTATAAGAATGCTCTGGATTTTTTCGCGTCGTACTTTAATAAAATATGCACTTTTTTCGCATGGCGTTACTGAAACATATTTTACCGACATTTTAAACAGTTCACCTCTATAGGTAGTTTCGTTGTTGTTTGATTTTTGTTGATTGCTATGTTACCTAAGCAACAAAGGAAAACACTACTAATATTACTCCGCTCAGAATCGTTTTTCCTTTACAATATTGTATTATCGTTGCATGCAGTATGTATAAACTATGGATTCTATTCATTATCAACTACCCATATGCAACATTGGCCTAACCATAGACGAATTTAGATTTTCTGCTCACGGGTGGTATTTTTATTTTTTTGACATCCCTAAAATGTTTGTTTTTATTTTACACACGTTACATAATATATTCACTTGACAGAAGGATAAATAAACACTTTTTAGTGTTTTAAATAATGTATTGAACTGTATATTATAAATAGGTTGTTTTGTTTAACAGTTATTTAATTTTATTATATTTTCAGTAGGCGCTCGTTCATAAATTAAATATTATTCTGTACATTATTCATATTATCTATCTAAGGCCGTGATATAATTTTATAATTGAACACTTTTCACTGTTCAATTCGAGTATGATAATGAGATAACAAAAAATAAAAAGCATTAATAATAATAATATTATCAACCAGAATAAATTGAAAGGTGAGAGCACACGTTTTAATGATATCAGCGTTAGCTATAAAAATATGTTTAAAAATGCTGCTCGGGGCAATCACCTCTTAAAGCCTCTCTCTCCCTTAAAATACGTCTCTGAGTCTATCAGCGAGCAGTATCGAATTTTTTGAATATTATTAACCTGCGAAATTATTTTTTTTTTTTCATTTAGTTATTCTACATATGTTTATTTATGATTTATTGTTGAAAAAACGAGCAGATTTTATATCCGTCGAAATTTCTTATCCTCTGTAGGCTACACAAATTTCAATTTGTATACTCATTTAAATATTTATTTGAGTTTAACGCCTCTGATATTATATAATTTTGACGAGAAAATCTATTTGTAGGTACCATAATAGTGTTAATCTATGATTGAGATTTTATATTCAGAATCTTTTATTTTATCTAAAGTATAAGCATATTGTTTAATTATATTATGCCTAAAAAATGAACCGTATCGAACATTAATACCAATTATGTCTACATATATTTATAATAGGTACTTAGTAATAATTAGACTCCACGTTTTTTCGTTTTATATAATAATGTAAATACTAATATTGAGATGTATATTATACTCAGAAGTACTTAATAAGCGAATTATAGTATAACACGTTGTACATTATGTTCGGATATTATTTCAAGTAGTATATTATCACGCAGATTAACATTAGTTTTAATTTTTAATCTGGTTATTATTACGTATTTATAATAATATTATTAGATGATGGTTTGTTCGTATTTTGAAGAATGAACGAGAAATTATTGCTTACAATAAGTGCAAAATGTATTTTCTTTTAAACCTAACTCGTAAAGTTGAATATGAGACGTACGTATATTTGTATAGTAAAAACAGGGGTACAGGTTTGACTATACACAGTGTGTTTCCTTTTGAAGGTAATACTAAATGTTTAGACCGGATGGCCTTGAATTTTAATTCAGTTTTCAAACTGTTTTATCCATTTTTAACCCTTTCGTAGCGCGCATGCACAATAAAAAATAATTTATTTTAACATCACAAGATCTACTTTTGACACATAGTTTGAATAGTTATGTTTTTTTTTTCAAGCGACTTAGATTAATACTATTTTGTTTTATTCAAAAAAGTTACAGCCATTTAAAGTTTTTGTTAACATTTTTAACTTTTATCGAATTTTGTAAAAAATTAAAAATTAGCGTTATTATGAATGTGTTATGTTAGATTATCTTTACAAACAATTTTTTCCCATTACACAGTAGTCAAATTTCTGTGCTATTAGTCATGTATTTTAAACATATTGAAAAATCTATTTAAAAAAATTGTATTTTTTAATCAATTTTAGATGGTTGTACCTCAGGTAATTTTTGCTATAAAACAAAATTGTTTTCATTAAATTCGATTTGAAAAAATAGAATTATTCAAATTTAATTTTAAAAGTAGTTATAAAACTGAAATATATCATTAAGTGTGTATTTCAAATAGCTCGTGTAACTACCCGAAATGGAATTTAAATACATGTTTATCTGATCGAAATATTTAGTGTTACATTTAAAAGGAAATGCACTTATATGTATGTTATGTTTGTTAAATTGCGATAAAGTAAAATGATGAATCGGTAAAGGCACAAAGGACACATGTTTAAAATTTGAAAATTTTCAAGAATCATGAAACATTTTTATCGGAGTTTTTTTTTTTGCTGTCTTTGAACGATTTTAAAATTTAAATACGGTGTTCTTTATGCATTTTTATGCATTAGCAATTCATAATAACGAGATGTATTTTAGAATACATAAATATTCTATTATTTTCGTGTTTGAGAGGAGGGAGTGTGGTAATCTTCTGATTCTCTCGGTGTTTAACGCCACTGTTAGTTATAGCCCGGAAACTCAACCAATAGGATACACAACCCTGTATTGTTGATATACTCGTATTGCGTAATAAATTTAAGGCAAACTCAGTTTTATGCATTTTTCATTGATTAGGTATATTCGATTTGTTGAGAAATAATTTAATATTTTCAAAAGCTATTCATCTGACCGTATCGATTAGTCAATTAATTTTTATTGGAAATATTTACTTCCAATTATAGGCATTTAATATAATAATGTTTTAACACATATTATTATTAATGTTTTAGTCATGTTGATAACCGTACCCAAGTTTCACGAGAATCATATACGTTGTTTTATTAACCTTAATTTTTTTTATTTTTGTCGGTAGCCGCCCAACAAATTATATTTTTCTGAGTGTATAATATAATTTACATTTTAACAGTAATTTCATCCCATGTACCAATTATACGAGCACGCAGTTTCGATTTCATATTTTAATATATCTGGTTTGTTACTGTTTTATGAATCATTCTTTGACGTGTACCTGTCTCGTTGATGACTAAATACTAATCGTGGGCAATTTCAAGGTATACTGAAATTGTTAATATTTAATGAAGGAGTAGAAAAAAAGTACATTGTACATAGTACTTTTCTTTTAGATTCTAAGTATACCGAAGAAGCTATTAGTTTTTCTATAATATAAGATGTGTGTTCTTGGAACTCTGGTGTTAATATTAATATTCTAATTTGTGTATGTACTTTAAAAGATGTGATTTTTTTTTATCAGATTGTATTTTATTCGGAAAAAAATAAATCTAAATTTCCAACATTTTTTCCATAAAATCTAAAAACTGAATGATGACTTCTGCAATTGGCGTACATTGGTTTTATTTTTATTAATTATTGTTGGTTACTTTTTTTGGTTTCACGGGAAAAACATCACGATTAATACTAGTACTCCGTATAAGGTTTTTGATTAGAATGATTTATCGTAGGCCCGGCTTTTTATTTTTTCCTATTGAGTTTCTAGTCTTCGAATTGTCTATTTTTTTTTTTAAGAAACATAATTTTGTTTATCCAACAAAATATTATATTCTATATATTATACTTTTAATAAATATTTGTATTGTTTAATCTTTTATGCAGTATATGGTGGGATTTATATAAATTTTATATCCGTTTATAAAACACTCTTGGTTTTTTTTTTTATATTCCTTTTTGCATGTAAAAACCGGTTAACAATCTCTGTGATTCTTGGTAATGACGAGTGTGTTGACCCTATAAACGTGTGATAATAATAAGCTAAGGTAGTGCGTGCGTTACACATTGAAATGTATGGATTATCACTTTTTTTTTTGTTTTTTTTTTATTGATTTTGTTTCATGTATCTATTTATTTTATTTTTTTATAACAATATAATAATTCTACGATAAAACATTTGGTTGAATATAATAACTCTTAATATTATATAACCAAATATTATATTTTGTAAGTTTAAATTTGTAGCTGTGTACTCGTGTGCATAGTAAACGACGTTAATTTAAGTTTACAGCGATTATTGAAATACATTCAAGGGGAAACAGTCTGAATCACTATTGTAATTAAGAATAGAAATATATTATTAATCAATAAGAACCGGATACTTACTTTAAATTTATAACTGCGGTAGGTGTATTATTAATATTATATGACAACTTTTCGTTTAAGATATGTGATAACGCGAATAATTTATTATATTTTCTACATTTTTTTTCTAGATCGCGTAGTTACAGTGTTCTTTTCGTATTGAAAAAAAAAAGTATTATCTGTAAACTCGCTTTAATTTTTATATAATGGATTTTATCTTTTAGTATAATAATTGTTGTTCTGATTATGAATATTTATATAGTATAGGTATAACTAGTTTTTAAACCCCGGGTAAGATCGATTACTTAAATTCCTACTGAATTGTGCGGTAATTTCAGTGTAAAATTCTATTTTCTCACGTACACAGGTGTATAGTTTTACTATTGTTCAACGATCATCGCCGTAGTTTGTCGTACATAATAATATACAATATATAATAACAAATTCGATTGTTCATGTTGTTTTTATTATTATTATTATTGTTTAACAAATAAGTTTAGTAGAGTGTTTTACGATTCGGGCTGCTAGTGCCAATGTGCAGTGCAAAACGACCGACGGCACACCTAAAATAGACAATCCAGCAACGACATACGCACATAATTAGAAACGGATATTATATGACCAAAGGTTTAACATTACTCTTCGCGTTTGTTTTTTTTTTCTATAATACCGTACACCAAAATACCCAATGTGAAAATCGGACTATAAAACATTCGACTGTAATAATGATATTACGATTTTTTTGATTCGTCTAACATATATTTTAAAGCACCATAGGAATTCAGACTAATTTTCTGTCGATGTACTAGTAGTGTAAAGCGATAAGAATTTAACGGGTCAATGGATGAAGTTGTTGAATGACATTTTTTTTACGAAATTGATATTATCTCATTAATCGACTTGTTTTGGCGTATTGAAATGTTTAATATACAAATATATCAGAACAAAAAATATAAACTTATGGCGATATTCATTTGATAAAAGTCTTATATTGCATAATATTCGTGTGGTTTTTGTTTGTCGATAAATATTTCATTACTATTTGTTGTTCTTTTCTATGGACAAAGGTATTATATAGTAATTTTTCGTTTCAAATCAACCACTCTAATAATTTTAATGAGCACTTTTATCCATAGACTCTTTTAATTATGAAAACAGATCTGAATTTAACGTGATTGGTTGTAATTAAAAATTGAAATTTGAAAAAAAGGCCTGATGGTGAATGGTATCGTAAAGACACTTCCCGTCAAATTTCAGTCTATTTTCAGAATTCGTATTGCTCCTTTACACCGATCGGACTATAATGGACAGAGAAATTGATCTAAATTGCTATGTGATAGCCACCGATGGGAATATTCGTTTAAAATCGTTTAACTTCATTTTTTAAATTTCACCAACTATTTATTATTAAATAATTGATTATTTGAATAGTCGAATGAAACTAACTGAAAATTTGTTTTCGTAAAATATTTTAAATTTGAAAATCTAAATTAGAACATAATTATTTCCAGTGGCGGTGCGCCAGATGAAACTATGCCAGCGAGGCACAGCATAGTCTACAATTTTCTTATTACAATAAACATACTTGGTTTATTCTAAATGCCATCTTTCAAAATCTTAAAATTAATCTCATTTAAAATACAGTATTGATCAGTTTTCGAAAAAGTGTGCATACTAAATGAATATACATTTCATAATATCACCTCGTTTTATATTTCTGACTTCCCCTAGTAATTTTCAAAATATTCGCCTCTCCACTTATAACATTCACGAGTCTCCGTTAATATTTTCTGAACATTTCTGTGCGTAAATTACAATTCAATCGATAGTTTATAAATTGTGTATTATGCAATTATTAAAGATGAGATTAGAGAATATGGAGAGAGTATTATATATGGTTAAACAAATTATTATAATTAGTCAATTAAATTTTAATTATTGCGAGTTCCGTTCTGATTGATTATTTTATAGTTACATACATTAAGTTTTATAATTTTTCTCACGTACCTATTTTTCTACACAACAACAAAATTATTTCGAACGGTTTTTAATTTACAATTTAATTATATTGGTCGCATGATGTAAGTACATATTTACTTAAAATATGTAAATAATGGAATTATTTCCCAATTGCATGACGACAAGTCAAACACCTCTATTTATAAGCTTACTATAACTTATGACCTACTATACCAATAACTTATGTGTACCGTCAGCATAAAATGAGACGCAGATAAACATTTAACATACTTTAAACTGCACCTGCTAAAAGCCTTAGTTAATCAACAACTAGATTAACAATTGTTATTATCTAAGTAGTATAACTGTACATTGTTTATTATGCCGATAATATACATTTTGGCAATCTGTAAAACTTGTAAAACTCAAGTTAAGCAATTTGTATTCAACGCAATGTGCAGCGATTCACTTTTTCTGTGTACTTATTGATAATATCTGCAGGGATTATCGGAGTGATTTAAAAATTTATCATAGATAGGTCCGTCGAAACCATCGAACCTCATCAATCCCTGGCGTTGTAATTTATTCCGAAACGAGGTCGAGGTGGATGTATTTTCGATTTTGTAGTATTCTGTTCGCACGAGACGAAAACGAGTTACAAAAACGTGCAAGTATAAAATGTTGACACGGATTAGTATTAGCTAGGTCACGAGTGATTTGGTTCAACTGGGAATCACTCGTCGCATCATTTATCGTTATCTCGTCCGGCCGATAAATGGAAAATTACTTATTGTGTATACCATACTGCTTTTAACGTCGTGTTTACGGACTCGTGAGTCCGGACGGATAGACCGAAAGTGGATTCGGGTCCGCAGAAAAGGTCCGTGTTCGATTTTACGAATTGTATGTGACGATTGCTCGTTTCGATTTACGTGAATAGAATCCCGGTGCCGTCCGGTATCAGACATTCACAATAACAATATAATGTGTGTATTTATATATATATATATAATATGATCTTCGGTTCGTCATACGTGTTGTCGTCGTCATGTACCTACTTATAGTGATTCCGTAGTAGGAATATTGGCCGCCGCGGGGGAAGGCGACTGACCCGGTTCGGCACCGTCGAGCATACTCCATACGATCCCCTCTCGTCCACGATATAAGTGTGCATTATAATCGCGTAGTGTGTGTCGATGTGTCGATCAGACGCAAGACCCCGACAGCGTTGGTTCGACAACGGGCTAGAGACAGAGAGAGGGAGAGAAATTAAGCTAAATAAACGACGACAAATTCGGATGACGAGAGGGGACGCGTATGATTTCCTGAAATATTCTGAAAATAATAATTGCGTCGTGATCGAACGTGTCTACGACACTTAATTATAATTTTGATAGAATATAAAACAATGACTAGTGATTTGAATTACAAAAAATTCGATAAAAGCAAAACATTTGTATTCTGATCTACGTATAATTGTTTGATTTTTCCAAAATAAATAGCTTTCGAAATTTGTTTTACCTTCGTTCAATTTTCGTTAATATTTACAGTTGTCATATCACGATTATTTACATTGTTTATTATTATTACTTGTCTCGGTGATTGGGTTCACAATTACTATTTCGCAAACCGAATTCAAGCCATATCTCCTGCAATTTATTTGACGAATAAATTTGAGATTTTGATTTTGATTTTCCATATATACTCGATGGTACTCCTGTCTGAACTACAGATTCGACGGCACACTCTCCGGATGTCGACGATTGGTCGGCAGCCTTGCGCACCGATGTGCGTCCCAGGACGACTCGGTAGTTTCCTGCGATTATGTACGGGTTTTCACTTAGGCGCAGACAGCCGTTGCAGTTTGTGCTGCAGTAATCGATTTAGTTTGTTATTTTTCCGTCTTCGTTATAATTTAATAACCGGTCCGCCGTTGGATCGAAAACGGAAATTAATTTTATCGGATTATAAACATGTTTTTCTGTACCCATATACCGATTTTCACTATCATCCGCGTCCATTATTATCGACCGCCGCCGCCAGCATAGTGTACAATATTATACGTAAAACTATCGTGTAATTTATGATTTACGGTCATTTCCGATTCGAGACACGGAAAACTTCTCATCGAGTCCTACCGGTGCTATAGCAACGAACGACGACGTGTGACGTGTTGAAATTATTGTTGCCGATACGGTCGCCTAGTTCGGCGCAGTCTGTAGTCGTTCCGGAAAATATGTTTTGTGGTGCCGGATTTAGCAGCAGCCGCGAGGGGAATACGAGTCTAAGCACGTGCCTCGGGTGATTATACTTACAAGTGTAAGTAATCATAAAAGGGTGAAAATAATAAGTCTACTCTAAGAGACGCGCTAAATATTATGATGCGTTTTGCTCGAGGCTTGAGACTAATATCGTGTTTTTTACTTGGGTCGGTGCATTTTAATTTTGTTTTCTATAGATTTGGTCTCTATTAATTTTCAAATCTTGGAGTTTATTCAGCCTTTAGGATTATCTCGTCTTATATAATCAATTTTGTAACTATACATCTATCTCTCTATAATCATGATACAATCTTTCCGTTCGGTTCACTTAGTAAAGCTCCCGCTACCACCAACTACATCTTTTCATCTTATTCTCGATCTTCCCAATGCCCTTTTCTTTATCGGGTTCTCTTCCAGTATTGCATTATTAGTAGCGGATTCTAACTTAACCACTCATGTTCGACCCATTGCAGTTTTATTTTTCTGAAAGTCCTTAATACAATTTTTTTTTTGTCGTACGTTATTTGTTTAGTTTTCAGTTTTCCTTTGTATTCACTCTTTGGTCATCCTATTGGTCCAACGATTTTCCGCTGTATTCCTTTAAAAGGAACGTTTATTATAAGGTTTGCTATATATTATATGTAGTGTGTGGTTAATAAATACTTAGATAACTTAGTGTATCTAAGGTAATGTAAACTTAGTAAATCTTATAGGATAATTAGGTAATCGTTGGAAAAATTGTAGTATTCTGGAATCTGGTGACTGGTGTACACAATATTCAGTGATTTATCTTCTCTAAAAATGTGTTGCGTTTGGTTTTCAAATATAATGTACGTATAATGAAACAAATTCCTACTTTTGTCTATTTTTGTTTTGACAATATTTTAATCACGCTGTATACATATACATATAACCTATGTAATATTAATATTTCATTTCAAACTATACTGTTTTTTAAGTGTACAATGTACATCCTGTATATAATATATGTACACGGGACGTATTCTTTATTATTATTTTTTTTTCTGTTGTACATGACCCGTAACGATGAAGTGGTGCTCCTTATAACAAACAATACACAGAAAACTCCGCGCGATACAAGGCAAAAGTAAAGGGGTGAGTGGTCTGTGAAAAACTTGGGTTTTAAAAAACAAAAAGGAAATTATGTATAGGTAGGTACTATGATGCATTTTACAAAAATTATTTTTTTCTCTAGCTGTACGTATGTTATATTATTGTTGTAATAATTGTACTTACTGTTGAATGTAAAAACGAATTATATGTGTTCGCGAGTTTTGACTCGTTTACTGCAGTCGAATATTATTTACAATTAATAATAATAATAATAATAATAATATTATTGCAGTATTGAATTAAGATATCAGATTCGTTATTACGTCTTGTAATTATTGAACTGGTTTTTGTATTAGTATACTTACTTATACGGCAGTGTATAGAGATAGACAAACGTCACACGCATATAAACCTATCCAATGTTTACTTTTGGATGGTTTTTTTTTTTTAATGCATTATTGAGACAAACATAATTATTTAATTCGCAATATTTATTCGGAACGCGTGCAATTTATTATTAATTGTGAATTAATACATAATTTAGGTTAGGTTAGATTGTTTACAAACCGGATCGATTGACATTCAACACCGGGCGGCTGAATTTGTGTACATTTTATTTATAATATTTTAAAGATCTGGTTAAAATCAGGTATAAATATGTAGGTTTGCTAGTGAGTCACTGTTTTCTGGTTTGAGAAAAACAAAAAAAGAAACGTCCAGTATTATCGCAATTTTTTCCATTTGTCTTCAATATTGGTAATTTATAAGTTCTTAAACTAGTACACTTTATTGGGTAGTAGTATTATCTGCAGTAAAAGCTAAAAAAAAAAAAACCGAGAACCAATAGAAATTGTTTAAAAGAAAGAATAAAAATATTTATAGGTTATTTATAAAATACTAAAACAGTAACTGTTGTAGACGTCCGTTTGGACGTATATAATATAATATAATATGTTGCATTTAGGTCTACATAAAAAAAAAAATCGTCAGAATTCACGATAAACAGTATACGATTGAATGTAATTATCTATAGATATATACTAAGTAGATAATCATGTCGGTGGTGTTTGCAAGTTTGCAAGTTATCGCAATACAACGGTATAAAAAAAAAAAAATTAAAAATTTAAGTATCAATAATAAAATGGTGGTGTTGTAAATTTCGTTAAGAATAATGCGGTTCAGTAATATTATACTCGTTAGATGTTTTTGTATAAATAAAATATTTTGGTGATAATAAAGTGTAATAATATGGAAAATATCCCAGATGCTGTACAAACAAGTAACGAGATTTTGTATTTTCGTAACTTTTTTTAATTTTGTCTTGTACATCAATATATTATAATATTCTTTAAAGTGGTCTCTTTGATGACTAGCTATATATACATCGGTGTAAGCGTTTCGCATAGCAGTGCCGGTGATTAGATTTGAATCGCCTTTAACTCCCATAGTGTTTACGCTCCTTTGGATGTCCTTTCGAGTAGGTTTCGTAGGGAACCCTATTCAGGAATCCCGTTTTTCGTCAAAATCGGTTGACGGAGTACACAACTCTTCTACATATTATAATATTTGGCTCTAAATTCAACTGTAGAAAGAGCCGATGTCGTTTATCGCAAGGAGTTGACCACATACTTGGTAGTATCATAATAATATGCCACGGGTTTTATCGTTGAAAATGTTCGTTCGTGCTTCGTCGTCGGAAAGAGTGCGCCACATTACATGTAGGATTATGTTTGTACCGTCCGGATATCGCAAAGCTAGCCCCTCTATTTGGGTACAATAAACTGCCATCAGAGTGCGGACCCTTCGCGATTTAAATCGCTATAGTTGAAATTACCTAAAATGACGGTATTTACGATTGCGAGAACGCGAAGTCGAACCGAATATTATCCGAATAATACGTATATTATTATCGGTGAACGTGCCGCATAAAAGATAAGACGCGCAAATAATAATAATTTTTAACAACCGTTTTGTACTTGCTTGTACCTGTCCCGTAATTGTTGAAAATGTACAAGTTTACAATTAATTAAAATTTGTATATATTAATAATATGATGTATATACAATCGATTAAAATTGTAAGTACGTATTAATGTGTTATTAATTTGACGTGCAGATTGTCACGTTCAACTGACCAGTGGGGCCGTTCATTATTCCCGGATCGTATTCTTGTAGTTTTCTTGTAGTTTTCTTGTAGTTCACGATGGAAATATAGAATAGACGAATTAATTTTCAATAAGGCCATCAACGTATTATTATTATTATTATACTTGACTTGCATCATTATCAGAATATTTGTGATTCATTAATTTTGTTGTGTTTATAATAATTATAGGATAAAGTTAAATTTGTAATATTATTATAATTATTATATAGATACTAGTAATTTTAAAAATGAAATGCAATATTTTTTTTAACCATTAATCGCGAATTATACTACTATATTACGTACTTATAAATTATTATGGGAATGGTTTCTTAGATTCCAAGCGTAACGAGGAAGCTATTGGTTTTACAATGCTGTTTATTTCTTTTTTTTCTTCTTTGTTCTTTGTTTTAGTCTGTGGACACGTTTTTTTGTGGTAAACTTGCTCCGATTTTTACATATAGCAACTTTTCTGAAAGCTCAAGTTGTCTAGATTCTACTGTAGAGGGAAAAACGTATGAAAATGTACAATTTCACGATTTCATTATTTTATAAAAACATGAACGACGTTTTCTACCAGAAAAAATGATTTTATCGAAAAATCGCAAGACACCTTTTTTGTTGCCTTTTTAATTTACTTTCTTACGGCATCATTGCCAAAACTTTTGAGCTTTTAAGGAACTTTAAATGTTGAGAGTTTTTTCGCTATAATTCGGTTATAAATACACTTAAAGATTTTAAACTTCGTAATAATACTTATATTGGACGTACACAGACGTGGCAAAATTTCTAAAATCATTGGGCGACTTTTTTAAATCAATTTTAATAAGCGTTTTGAAATCAAATTTAAACGAAAATCGTAAAAAAAAATTACGGCACTTCAAATTATGTATTAGCGAACTCTGCTCGGAATCGTCTTTCGTTGAGCATTGGTTTATCGTGCTAACAGATATAAATAAAATAACCTTGTGTATCCTACCTTCCTAACTTCTTACCTATAACAGTGGCCGCTCTCATCCCCAATATTAGCTGTTTTTTTTTTTAAATTTATTTTGAATTGTGATCGAATTATTAGAATGTAGGTTATTACTCGTAATACGACTTTAAATACAATAATATAATATTTGAATTCTGAATTGCCAGTAATTGACCGATACTAGTAGTTACCCTATTTTTATTGTTATTTTGTTTTTTGTAGAACCGTTTTCTTGTCTATTTTTATTTAAAATGATACTTTTAATTTTCTTCCGCAAATTTTTTTAGACAATTTTTTTTTGTTTTTTATTTTTATACGGAATATGAGTGTTAATTTTAATATTTTCCAAGGACAAAATTTTCAAAAAATGTGTGCCTCGGAGTTAACATAAATAAAATAAAATGTATGAGCTTTGCAAATATCGATAATATATAATTAGAAAATTGTTTTTTTTCTGGCCCAACTCATTTTTCTGAATTAATTTTTTGACGACAATAAAAGTATTATAATAAATTGAAAGTACTGCATTTTTAAGTTTTTTTTTTTAAAAAAAAAAAAAATTAAAACTAATCTAATTTTTTAGCTTGATATAATTATTAAATTTTTAACCTATCCTAACCTAACCTAACTTTATTAACTTTTTGAATAGCCTGCGTTCTAGTCTTTTATAAATATAAAAAGGGCTTAGAAAAATAATCTTGTCCAAAATATCTATAACAGGTACCTATATCTATAATTGTTAAGAAGAGGGCGATTTATTATTTTGTAAATGATGGAAGATGGTTTAGATTCCATATACAAGGTGATTCATAAAACACTAATTATTTCGCAAAACATTAACTTTTTTGAAAACAATTTAGGAAACAAGTAGCTCAACAATTTTACATTATCATTATTTTCGTCACCCTTATTATTTTTTTTTTTTTGTGGGGGGACGACGACTATATACTTTTGATTTTTCCTATGTTAAACCTATTAGTAGGAGTATTAGTTTAAATACATTTTGGGTATTGACATTATTGGCTTCTTTCAACTCGTTGACGAGATATTCCACTTATACATTTGAGTAAGGGGAGAGTATAGTGGAATATCATTTGAGTGGCGCACGTCGTTTTAATTGTGCAGTTTCAGTCCCAATGATGAAGGCGACAATAAAATAATGGGAACGTAATATTTCAGAGCTGGTTGTTTAATAATTTTCAAACAATTTTTTTTTTTCAATTCAATACTTTGCGAAAAAGTGTTTTACGTTAATGAAACACTCTGTATATATGCATATTATATATACATATTTATTATTTTGAAAGAAAAAAGTATCTCATTGTCAAACAAAAAATATACTTTGACGTAATTTGTTTGTAATATTTACTCGATAAATTATTTATCGGCATAAACGTATTATACCTACTGTGTATAGTATCGAAATTTCGTTTGGAATTTTTCTTCCTATTAATCCTATCGGATTTTCTGGCCCATAGGTATTTTTCTTAAATTTACATAGTTAAAACGATTCATGTTATACTCGTATGTATTACAAACGTGACGAATCGCATTTTATTTTTGTCTGACGATGTAACACACGCGCTCGTAAACAAATCCATAAAACTGTGTAAATTGAATATTATTGAACTTATTTATTTTATTATTATTTTTTTTTTACCGTTTATAGCCGAACGGATTTCATAATTTTCGATTTTACAAAAATGACATGTACTCGTATATTTATTGCAAGTACCAATTGGAAAGCTGAATTTAAATAACTTTTATTGCCTACGGCTGCTTTTCGGTTACGTGTGTTCATTTTATTTTTCCTGTATCGCGTTGAATTCTGTTATATAAATTATATATAATATTATCGAAGTTGAGTTAACTTTGATTTATTAATGTGTCAATCTGTATACCGACTCCTATTAGGTGTACGACCCGGAGAAATGTATCCACTCGTAAAAATTGAACGTATTGGTTTTACTTATATGACGTATAATATATATGTGTTTTTTTTGTTGTGACTGTAAACGTCTCTACCGTAAATTTTGCTCCAATCAAAAAAATACAAATTTTCTTGTGACATTTTTGATCTAATGAATCGAGAAAGTCATTAATATTTCTCTTGTAGTTTTCTTAACAAACGTGAAAAACTGGGTATTTTTTCATAATTTTTGTTTATTTCCGAGTTGGCAACAAGAGGGAAAAAAAATAATAATAATACTTTTGCTTAGAATCGTTTTTTCGTTGGAAATGGTTTATCGTTTATATGGTTTTCGAATATAAATTAAAAATTACCATATACCGATCTCTTTGCAACTTATCTACTAAAACAGTGGCACACCCATTAGCAGTATCAGCTATAAAATATATTTAAAATTATGCCAAAATTGTTTTTTGAAAATAGATTTTTTTAAAAAATATTTTTAATACACTATAGTGGGCTTAAACGTACTCGTATATGGTTCGTATGCAAACGAAAAGTGACTAATATTATTCTAACACTGCACAAATACAACTGTATATATTATACAGTTATAGTGTTTATTATAATCTAATTCTTATTATTATATTATACGTTATAATATAGGCAGTTGATTTCTATTATCTGTTGTGTTCTCGCGGAGTTTTATAAGTAGTAGGTCTATGTAATATATTATAAAATATAAGAGCTTGGCGATTTTTAAAACGAGAAAGTCATTTAGCCGCTGCTGCAGTGACGACGAATGCGATAATTCGAGTGGGGATATATTCGTGTGCGCGCGTTGTAGAGAATATGTCAAGGTAGGCGTATACAATTTGCGTATACGAATACGGGTGCCTCTTGATGGAAAAAGTAATTAAACATAAGGTAATTTTACGCAGACGGCGTAAGTACGGTAATCTATTTTAAACATTTTTATAATCGAACGTGACGTGCGAGTAATACGTATATAGGAAGTGCGCAAAGATCCCATAAATAATTTGACTTTATTTAATTATAATATAGGTATATATATGCCATAATATTAGTATTATTGATTGATATTATTAGAAGCGATCGTGTATTATAGACGCGCGAATCATTCGCTTAAATTGTTGTGGCAAAATAATAATAATAACAATTAGAAAAAAAAAAAACAAAACTAAACGATCGGTTTACAATATTAAAATTTAGTTTATCCTATATTTTTCCGAATCGATTTTTTTTTTTAAATGTATAATAAAAGGTATTAACTTTTTATAAAACTAGGTTAGAGGTATTTATAAAATATAGATGTTTTTTTTTCGGTATTAGTTATTTTAACTACAGTGTAGTTTATAATTTTAGATTCTGATCATTTTACTGTTATTTTTAAGAATAATGTAAATTTTGTATTGTTATGGACTGGTATACTTTTGAATGTTTTTTTTACTGTTACTTTAAAAATAACGATAACAGTCGGTAACAGTGAGCCTCACTGTAGTCTGTTACTGTTACATTATTATTGTTATTCATATACAGTAACTGTTATGATTTTACAAATACTGTTGTTAACATTATGTAACAGTAACAGCTATACCAAAAAAATAACAATAACAGTTATTTTTTTTCCAAGTAACAGATTGTTATTGCTACTATCAAAGTAACTGTTAAAAATCACTGTAACTATTAGTTTTGCTCATCATTAGTCGGGAGATCATTTTTTTGATTTTCTATGTAGTTTTTTTAATAATCAGGAAAGACCAGGAAAGTGTACGCATTAACGGATTCATTATTTTCGATTTTGTTTTGTTTTATTTATTTATTTATTTTATTTATTTATTATATTGTTAAAAACAATTGTAGACATTGAAAATTTTTCACGAAAGCTTTTATCAGCTTTTTCCAGACGTGTTCCAATTTTAAAAATATGGCGATTGTTAGCTATTCATAGGGATTTTACTATTTCGAGTTTTGTTTATTTTTTATTTTGTTTAATGTGAGATATTAGTTTATGTCATAACTTCTGTGATAATTATTTGTGATAACATGAAAAATGTTTGAAATTAATCTCAAATAGTTTCTATATCATATAATTCATGACATAAAAAAATATTTCATTGGCTTATGGCCTCTTATATTAAAGTTTAATCCATATTAGCACATGAATACTGATTTCATACCTCCCATTTAAAAATCTCGTGTAAATCCTGGAAATAGACAACAGTGAGGGAATTTTCATGCAATTCTAGAATTTTAATACAATTAAGTGAAATAAACGATCATTTTAATACCTACATATTGCATTCACACCTTATTTATTTATTTCAAAAACTTCGCAATTTAATTTAATATTAACATAGTCTGTCGTCTCCGAAGGTATTTTTGTAAAAAGCTGTTAATTTTAAACTCAGATCGGGGATAATAATAGTTCTAATTTTACAAACTGTAGCGTCAGGTGTTAATACTATATATACTATTTTATTATAATAATATACGCAACTTCGTAATAATTTCGCGCCTCCGACTGCTTTACCAATAGAAGGTATTTAGTCTCAGTCAATTTTGTTAAGATATTTCATGTAGGTATTCTACGAGAACAATGGAAATCGTGATGTGTACTTCGATTAAGACATCATTTTTCGTCTTTACCATGGACGGTCATCAGGCCACAACCGTAATTTATACTCGATCTGCGGCCTACGAAGCTTTTATTATGGACGCGTTACAATATAACGATCGGTGCCCATTTTGTTCCCATACAGACATTTGCTTGCGGATCGTCGTATAAACGAACAAGATATAATAAAAGATGTTTTAATAATTTTATTTTTTTTCCCGGCTACATCGTTGTCTGAAAATTACGTGAATTCAATGAATACCTATTTGAATCTTGTATTTAATATAGTTATATCAATCATAAATCATCAATGTATTTTTTAAGAAGATGCCACACCCGAATGTATTGTTTTAGGCTAACTACGTTACATGTTTAGCAAAATTACTTTACTTCGAACGTAAATTGTGACGATTTGGTTGAAATTAGAGTTTTAACGCAATGAAAACAAAATTAAAGAGAAGCGTATTTCCGTGAGCAGAATCCTTACAAAAAAATGTTATAAAAAATAGTCTGGCGCATCATCTTATTCTTATAGGAAAAGTACATCTCTATTACTTTCATATTATTATTTTCTAAATTGTCCTACAATTTATAAAGGGTTCACGATACATTATTTTCACCCTCGTTATACTTTGTGTACTTTGGCACCGGTGAAAACGACAGTTAAGTGACGGGGATGCGCTTATCTATTTTTTATTTTTTTATTAATACGGCATATATAAATATATATATATACAAACCCAGCATGACAGTATCTTTTCGCTTATCTTTTTTTACCACATTCCCGTTATCGTCATTGTTGATATATAATACCTACCTCTAGCGTTTTTTTTTTCGAACGAATATTCCGGTTGTCCGAGCACTCGAAAAAAGAATTCCACAATTGTTCGAAAGTAAAAAAAATACTCTTATCCAAATGTTCAATTCTACTATAAATTCGATGTAAGCCGGTATTTTAATTTTGTTAGTGGTGAATTCGGATGCGTGTGTATTGCGTGTTTGCTTTTGCCTTTGAAAAAACATTCCGATAAAGCCGAAAAATCGTGCAAACGACCCAATAATAATACTTTAAAACGACTGCGGTATGATAATTTTATTATTGTATGATGTAACTCATTTTAAACTTTTTTAATTAATTAAAAAAAAAACTGACCGGTCAGCGTACGATCCTCGAGATTGATGTGTATCTATACTGGGAAAGCTCATGATAAAAATTGAGTCTTATACGGTTACAGGCATTAATGTGAATCGGTATGAATTTGATTAGTATTATTTTTTATAGATTATTCTCAGCAAAGAGGAATATGGTTTTTTTGAATTTTTCCCGAAATTAGAGACTATTGCATTGCATAATTGTATCGTTTGTCTATTTGGTTCCAGGTCTTAAGGACTTGTGTCAACTTTATATGGATTTTAATACAAGCAAATTATATTTTGAAAATACATACATTTCTAAAATTCAGATCAAAAATTATAAATAAAAAAAAAATTTACTTAAGTATTTCTTCCCTAGCTGTGACTAGATGTCCTTGGTTATATATTCATTTTCCTTTACATTTGTGTATATTTGGCAGCACTCTCTGCAACAAATGAACTTCATTTCGGGAATTAGTCATTTTATTGGCGGATCTAAGTGCTAAAAGTGGTCTAATTTCAACACGAATTTTACAGTGTTGTTACTGGAAGAGTGTGATTTTTTGTTTATTTAGATTTGATTATCCCAATTCAGCCCAGCCAAATGAAGTCAAGGGGATGTAATTTTGGGTATGCATACGCTTCATTGCGGATTATAGTTCATTGGGTGACACTTTATTGCGCTACTGTATACTTACGATACCATTAGTTTGTTATAATAATAAATATTTATAAGATGCGTGTATACGAAGATACGACTATTGCAGTACTACAATATATTGTATCCGGATTTTTTGTATAATTACATTAAATACGCAAGAGATAAACCGGTCAATTTTATAAAATAATAATAATAACAATAATAAATGCATACTACGTACTACATAATAAACACATCATTTTCACTTGAGAATAAATCGTTTTACATTTACATCCCTATAGCTATGGCTGTGTTGTAAATGTATAATATCATTAATAATTCACGGGATGAGAAGTATCGCGCGATGAAACGCCTGTAACTTACATTTTGTATACGTACGGGGTGGATGGGTCAATAGGATGTGTCTTTTGGGGATTCAACTTTCAACCTCCAAAACCATTTTTATCATTTTTATGCTCGTATTTCATCGTTTTCTTTTTTTTATTTGGCAGTATAGTATCTATAGTAGCTGTTATGTATTATAATATTCAATTATTTATTGTTTTACAAAGAATATTTGTACAGCCCTCCAAAAAGGCGGGGGAAAATCTGATTTAATATTTTTTTTTTGTCCGGTTTATTTTTCGATTAGTACAAAATGTTTCCAAAACGTTCATTCAATTCTTTTACAAAGACGCGGATTTTTTGTCCGGTAGTTTATTCGCAACAGTTGTCTATTATAGATTACCAAAAGTATAATTCATTAAAACTGTAGTTGTAAATAATATTTTTGGCGGTTTTTTAACTATTGCATTGCAACGGATTTTGAATACGAAATCGTAAATCAGTTCGACGATGGAAATTAGTTTAGCAAACCGAATTTCGGACTGGGCGAGCGGCTAACTGAATGACAATTGAACTTCGGGTGGTCCCGCAATATCCTGAAAACTTGATTGTTCAATACACATTGTACATACTGACTTGTAAACGAATTGGCCAATAAAGGAATCCAATATAACAAGAACGGAACAGTGTCTAGACAAGCCGAACAGAGCTACTAAACCGGCAAAACAATATCGCCCTGACAGAGTGCTCTTATATTTATACATACAACGTAGAGTCCTCGCAGAGTATTATATATTTTTTTTTTGTCCGTGAATATTGTGCGATTCCGTTGACTCGTGTATAATCCGACGACGTGGAGTTTCACGATAATATTATATAGTGTACAATTTATTCGGTATGAGAACTCCATCGCGGTCAGTGGCCCGGTATAACAAAATTCTGTTGTCAGGATTTCGCGTGTAGTTTTTCTCACGGGCCACAGTGTGACAATAATAATAATATTATACAGTTGACCTTTGCGCTATTTGTGATAAACAACGCAGTCATATTATCAAGATGATAAAACATAACGCGTACATTACAATGCAAAGTGCGTTTATTATTATTATTTTTCTTTTTTTTGGTCTACTCTATTACAATAAGAAAACAAAGTATTTTTAACTGCGGATTCTACGAAAGTGAAATTTCAATAACGTATAGTCGTAGTTCCATATATTTTTTTTTTTTACCATATTTTGTTCGGAGCATTTTTCGTTTGTTTTAGGATATCCCCTAACCACAGTAACAACTCTATAATGCTCGAAAAAATATATTTTCATCGAGGTTTTTTCTTTTTCTTTTTCAAACGAACATTTCGTCGTGTTTGCGCGTTTTTGTACAGCACGAAAACAATAGTTTTACAAAACGGTCCGAAAATTATCCGTTTGAAGAGTAATTCAATTGTGATTAATATATTATTATTGTTTATATATAGCGCCACCTCCATTGCTGATTGACGAATTTGACGGAACGATTCGTCACAGTATTTTAAATCTCGTCGTCGGATTCAGCGTGTGCTTGTATAGTTTTTTTTTTGTTTTTTACTGGTCTGCACGCGCACGTCGCCGGCACAGAAGAGAGTAAAATATTTACGTGACGGATAATACCACCGTTCCTGCGATTAAACACAGTAAAAAATGAAAACAAATACACCCAAAACGTCGTCAAAACTCTGACGTGTATTATATGACAGAAATGCTGCGATTGTAAACATATAATAATAAAAACGTAAATAAAAGTCGATTATACTGCTGTTGGGCGTGCCACTGTTTTATGAAGAAAGTATTGAAATGATGGGGTGGTAGGTATATAGAGTAATCTTATTAATTTCTGTATTCGACGATAAACCTTTGCTAACGAAAAACGATTTTAAGTAAAGAATTAATCGTATTTATTTCTATTGTTGCCGAGGTAATCCGGAAATCAACGAAAAATAAAGGAAAATCGAAAAAACGACTTTTTAGTTTCGAGAAAACTACAAAAAGATAAAAATAAAAATCACGTGCACAATGCCACGGCTAGATTAAAAATGCTACAAGAAAGTTCCGATAGAGTTTTTGATTGAAGTAAGATTTCCGGTAGAAAAATTGCTGTTTAAACGCGTCCGGCTTTCCTTGGCTTATAGCGTATTATAATTCGTTTTGAAAATCGTCCGGATCAATCGATACGCACCATTACGAACTGTCGACACCATTGCCAATCCATTGGATCGACTCTACCGCAGTATTAGGTTGTTGTCTTTGATCGTAATTTATTACGCGTTCCGGATCTACGATTGTTGTTGTAAACGAAATGGGCGACGAAATGTATCATAAAAGCTCATTTATAATATTATATTGGCTTCAAGACGATAATGCTTTTGATGTAAACATTACAAACAAATAAAAATAACAATTTATAGGGGGAGAGGGAGGGGGTTATTGGACACCCAGATCCCCCGTTCTCCGTCCACAGCGATTACGCCACGGCGGTTCGTTATATTATTACGATTATATTATTTTTCATTCTACATCATTTTGTCACACCGGTTAAATTAACGCCTGGCAAAGCGAGACGTCTCCGATTGCCGTCGGAATACGTATCGACAAAACGGCCTTGGTCGATGCGACTGTAATATTATTATTATTATTATTTCTTCTTTACGATATTATTATCATGTTCATTTACCTGCCGGATTAAGAAAGCGTTCACCGCGCGCATTACAATAAAATATTTGTATACGATTAATTTTTTCTTACACTCTGCAGGTTGGTACTCGCGGTAGTCCGTATATTTTACCAGTGTAAATTATGACTATTCGGTACGCATTCTGTTAAGAGGACCCGCATCTACCGTTACGGTCCAGCTAACTGACAAAATTATGTGTCTTGGAACGTAATATCGTGGTATCGTTTAAGTTATAGTTTAAATACATATTACAAAATTTGAAGAGGAAAATATTAACGAAGGTTGTAGGTACGTGGGTTCCTTCCGAAAAATTTGAAAAATCAGACGAAATAGTTACGGATATTTGAAAAAAAAAAAAAAAAAAAAGCAGTTACGTCCTAGAAAATATTGTACTTTTTAAATATTGTTAATTGTGTTTTAATTTTCACCTAAACGCCACAATAAGTTACGTAATTGTGATTACTTTAATTAGACCGAGACATGTTTGTAAAATTCAAAAATATAAAAAAGATTGTAACGTCTCGATGGTTAAAGATGTCATAACATTGCAATAGTAGTCAATCGACTTTTGGGGGACTATGATAAAGGTTTATGTTAGGAATCCGAAAAACTTGACTCGTCGGCCCTGAGTGTGGATAAATATTTTACCTGGTATTTTACTATTTTTTTTTTTTAGATTCTGAGTTTAGCGAAGAATGTATTGGTTTTACAAAGATGTTTGTTTATTTTTTTTTATGTGTACACTTTTTCCACCAGAAAACTTATCCTGATTATCAAGCATAGCACTTTGTCTAAAAAGAAAATGATTTTTTTGATGGTAATTTAGACAGTTAAGTTTTTGAAATTCTCATTAATATTCGAGATGATGAGGAAAACCTAGTTCTTCTTTATTTTAAAAATAAGGTTGTAATTGGCAACCGTTTTTATTTATTTTTTATTATTTTAATATTTTTTACACGATCATTGTTACGGAAACGCACATTGTTGTAATCATTTATTTTATCATATGATATATATATATATATATTTTTTTTGTTGATAAAGCATCACTATTAACTGAATTCCGTTCAGAATTGTTTTTTCGTTAACAATGGTTTATCGTTGTTTACAGGTATACATTAAATTCCCGTCTGTATCCTACCTTCCCAACTTCTCACCTACAACAGTGGCTGTGCCCACGTGCGAAGTATTTGTCCGTCCTTTTTTTTTTTATTCGTTTCTATATAGTGTTATATTTATATTAGTAATATTAATTTTTATCTCGAAATCTTGTGAAAAATGCAGATTTCGATGGCCTGAACGTGGCTAGATTTGCCAGACCCCGTAAACAGCAGAGCCCCGGTCGTGAACAGGTATACTCGTTTGTATCAATTTAATATATTATATAGGTATTTGATCGAAAAAGAAAAAAACAGATTTCAAGGAGTCTAATAAATCAATATACTTATTACTCTTATCGTATTTGATGTCGTCGATAAAATGTCATCGTAATATTATCTACTTGTTATTATATTAATGTCGATATAATCGCCTATAATAGTATGTAAATTCGAAACGTGAGAGAATACGATAATAATATTTACTCTAGTTGTAAACACAATAATGGTATTTACCATCCTTAAATATTTATCAATTTTGATAAATTCAAATCTATGTGTACGTATATAATATATGCTATTATGTAATGTTAATTGTCGATAATTTTATTGTTGTGTAATTGTGTTTATGATTAGGTTATATCAACTTTTCGTTCAGTAGAATCGATTTTGCGCTGCGAGTTATAACATAATATTCGAGTGAATTGGCTCATTAGCAAACCTAATGGTATATAATATATGTACATTGTTTGCGTTTTTACGTTATTTTTCTCTCGAAATTTTAACCCTTTAAGCGGGATACGAGTATGTGAAATATTACTACATTAAAACAAATAATAATAAAATAATAAACATCGAATCTCACTTGAAAATAAAATATCGAAAAAAAAAAAAAACTAACGATCAGACGCAGACAATGACGACTCAGCTTTAAGTTTCATAGTAGGGGCCAATACACTCTGAAGAATATCGAAACAGTTCGAAATCGGTTTAAGTATAAATATAACGACATTAACAGATTTTACAACATTAACATATTGCATATGCACGCATTTATCTATAGCGTAATTTTTATGTAAACTGATAATTTATGGATTATTTTTTTTACATTTTAATTTATGGAAATAAAAGTTGGCCAACAGTATACTATCCGTACAGGTATTCTGTTTCGTTTTCCCTGTTAAGTTTTTGCGTCTTGAAAAACAATATTTTATTCGAAAACGTTTCCGGTATAAAATTTCTACTTGTTGATGTCGGGAGGAAAACAAATTCCGTTCGGCCCACTCTCGGGTACTATATTTCAATGGCAATAGTCAACATTTTTACTTAATAATTTTTGGTGAAAAAAAAAAAAAAAAATTTAATATTTTGAATTAGAAAAATGTTGTTCGTTTACCTGTTACTACGAACCGGTTTTAGCGTGTTATTGTAATAGCGTTCGTTCAAAAAGAAACGTGCGTGCAGTTTCAATAATTATAATTATTATTATGCGCGTCCAAAATTAAAATATCCAAAACGGGATAGATTTTTTCGACGTCGAACGTAAACAATAGTAAAATTGTTTATCGTTGACCGTAAACAAAAGTATACGCGAAACATTGTATTCGGTATTGACCATAGTATTTGACCATAATCGGTATACCATATTCGATTCGTGTTTTTTTTTTTTTTTTTTATTCTTTAGAGACAAGTAAATTGGTCTAGAATTTAAACGAATTGACACAAAAATTCAGAATTATTATTAAATTATTATTATTATTATTATTATTATTAAACTCACTTATATTATAAACACAGTTTATTTATAATATCCCACTTCATAAGTGCAGGTATTAATAAAATTTGGCCTCGGAGATGTCAAACGCTAGTCGAAGACGGACTTGACACGTGCGAATTTTCGGTCTTGTCATATTTGAAAATCGCATTTTATTCGTGTTTGTTTTTGGTTACCATGGGTTTGCTCGGTTGGAAAGCAACGGTGAGCAACACCGTCACTATTATAGTCATATTTTCCAACATAGTCATAATAAAACTTCTGAAATAGTTGATACTGCTCACGGTATATACGCCACTGCAGTTGTCGGCGGGTATAGTTGACATATAAGGTGTACAACGATATAAATTACTGCAAAAAAAAAAACGATTTTTAGCAGAGTAGTTGTGTTTGTCGCCAAGGTAACCCAGAAAAAAACGCCCTAGGGGTGCACCGATGAAAACGATATCAAGCAACAAAATCAGAACTTTTTTAATAACCGTAAAAGTGTTTTCCGAGAAAAAAAAATATCATTCCAATAGTTTTTCCGTTATATTAGGAATATAAAAATTAAATGACAAACGACTGTGTACAAGCACGTGTAAAACGTGGGCATGAGTAAGGTTAAGGGTTACGATCACCGGCATTTAATAATTTGGCCCGGTGAAGGTCTTGCGGGTAAAATTACAATTATAGTATTATTACAGATACAGGCATATGTATAATTTTTTTTAGCACAATCTATACGTGCGCACTGCGTCCATTTTCACACTTGACACAACATTTTAATCAATTGCGTTTATTACTCGTTATTATTTATCTCCCCTCGCGATCTCCTCGTCAAAACATTGTCATAACAATAAATCACCAACATAATATCTGTCCCCGTCCCTATACGCCGAACTCTGTGTATTCCCCTAAACGGTTTTATCCACCATATGCAAATATTACATCATTTTAAAGCGTCGCGGTTTTAAATTCACCATGCCGGTCTAGCCATAACGAATTCCGTAACTATTAGATTCGAACTTGTGACGTTAAAAGGCGATAAAAAAAATAGTATATGAAATTAAATTGATCTTAATGTCTTCAATCTGCGTCTATCTACAAAACGACAAATTAACAGGTCCGTGATACCCGTATATTATATTACATTGTGTTTTCTTCGGCTTGTAAACCTTCGAGCAGCAAATTTGCGTTCTGCAGGGACAACATTATGCTGTTATTTTCAATATTAGAGCGAATTGACCCATCGGCAAACTTAAAGTTAAGAACATTATCTGTGCAACGTTGGCGCAATTTTTTCGATGTTATAATTTTTAAGAACGTTACGAGTATGCGAAATGTTACTGTCTAATGACGTTCGTGTCCCGTTCCGAAGTTGGGATATCGAAGAAATAGCGCCAACGTTGCGCAGATAGTGTTATTAAGTTTAAGTTGGACGATAAGTCAGATTGCTCTAATATTGAAATTAACGGTAAAAAGTTGTCCCTGCTGAACGCAAATTTCGTGTGTCATACGTTTGTAAGACGAAGACAGCACATGCGGGTACCACGTTCTCCATAGAACGAAATCGATGTTTAAACGCTGATTAATGGTACTGTTTAAAGTGAAGAATTTTTCCTCGCTGTTTTTTTTCTTCTAAAACATTTTCAAACAAAAAAGTTATAGTCATGTTAGTTCTGCTTTTTGTTTATTTTAAAAACAAGTAGTTTTAACTTTTTTGTCGTCAGTAAAAGCCGGACTGTGACTGTAAGACCTACTCGGCTTTTCTTAAACTCGACGAGGTATTCGTGTTAAACGATAGTTTGTAAAATGTCATTTGTCAATAATCTATTAACGAGATTAAAAAGGATATTATAGGCGCGGCGCTGTGTGTAAAATATTTGTATTTATATTTTGTTTCTACCGTTTCTGCCATATTATTAATATCATCGTTTTTTAGTTTTATATATTTTATTTTTAGAAATGACGATGTAAACAAATATCTACCGGGTCTTTTTACCGAACCGAAGATAATGTAATTTTATTAAAACACCGTGTCTGGTTTGTTAAATTTCATCAGCCAATCTTTCGAATTAGATTTCAATTTTCCGACCGAAGTCACTGAATATATTGTACCCCACCGAGGAACGTAATTATCACCTTCGATGCGCGTCTAATCGTGTTAAATAACTAAAATCCGGTTACGGGTATTACGACGCCGAAACTTAAATCACATTGGAATACTCAGTGCCATCTATACTGTATCCTTTAAACCGTAGATTCTGAATGACTCTACCAGATAGCGTTGTCGTCGCCGCGACGCGCGACGTAGCGGTTTAGGATTCCGGTAGATAGCGCTGTGTATATACATTGCGAGCATGATTCCCAGGAAAATATTTTATTATTCAAGTCGTTCGTTTATATTACTATGGTAGTTCGAAACATTGTCGATCGTGAACTCAAATGTATAGAATATTAAAACGATATACTTATAAATTATTTAATTAGATAAACTCTATCTGCTTTTTGATTATTATTATAATTAGACACGTAGCTAGGATTTTTTTTGGGGTGAGGGGGTGTCCCCAAACATATAATTTATCACCAATTATCAATAATTGTTTGGGGGAACAAAAAATTTAAACGTAATGAGTAGTAAATCGATGTACAATCTGATTTTTTAGTGAGAAGCTTACATTTGGGGCGGGGGGCTTGGGTCTATGTCTACGTTCCTGAATACACCCAAAAAAATACAATTTTTAAACGATACACTTATTTGTATTTATGTTGAACTTTTCGATTTGCGGACATTTGTTCGTTCGAGTATATTTCGATTTTGAACAAAACCCGAGGGTTTATCGAATGGATAATTGTGGCGTATTAATAATTGATATTAACGTCAATATTTATTTCCGATTATTTTTATTTAACTAAAACCGTTTTTAAAATGTGTAGTATACTTATTAGTGATTATTATTTTTATGCAAATAAAATATAAGCTGCATAGTCTCGAATGAAACACAAACAAAAAATATATATATGCCATATTAGTCCCGTTCGTTTTTTTACAGTTAAAATAAATAACATTTTTACCAGTTTTTTTTATAGTTACAGGGCAATAATAATAATAAAAAAATATATTCTTCGCGCGATTAAGGTCAATAATAATACGTACATTCTTAATAATTCCGAACTCGAAGACAAGAACAATAAATTATGTGTATTACGACTTTATTTCATTTAAGTAAGTGAGTATTATTATTTTTTTTCATTTTCCCTCGTAAAAAACCGTTAAACTAAATTCGTATATTTTCTTCTAGGTGCGTATATATACATAATATGATATAATATATTGTATTATATGTATGTATAGTTTTTTTTTTTTTATGTTTCTAACCGTACATTTCGAAAGAACTTTAAGTACTTCTTGTATAATATTCAATTTAGCGGCAAGGTTGATCATATTTCAAATGGATATAATAAAAACCAAGCTCTCCGACCCGCACCGCTCGTCTCGTTTCGCATTTATCGGCGCGCGCATTACACGCTGCCCGTATCACACAGTGGCGATTTATTGTTATTTTTGTATTCCGTCGCATTTTGAATGAAAACGAAAAAAAAAAAACCAACCCAGTTTTCTTACCGCTGTTATATATTTATATTGCAGTTGTTGGCAATTTTCCGTGCAAATTATTGGTATATTGGTCTCCGCATCGGTGTCGCAGCAAAACGGGGTGGGGAGTTATATCACCCCCCGTCCTAAACTTGTTTAACATCCGTCCGAAAGGGTGATTTTTTTTTACGAATTCCGCGCAACACGTATATTATTATGCACACGTACACTGAAAGAAAAATCCTTGTCATATTATATAAAAAAAAAAAAACAAAAAAACACTAGGTTGGTTTGACGATTGCTTTTCAGCCGCCAGGATAATTATCAGTCCATCGTATACATCATTGTAGTTATGATAATATTTGATTCTCGATAGGAAATCCTTTTGATTTGATAAAAAAATTATTCGTTTGACAGTGTTTGAGTTGTGTTCATTTATTATAATAATATATATTTCTTAAATACCACATTTTGTAGTTGTGCAATATGTGTTGCAATATTACTCACATCTCCTTGTAATTTTAAAGACGGTAACGCCACGCCGCGTCACTTATAGGCGGGTTGATTTATCGTCCCGAAAACCCGCCCGGAAGTTCGTTTGAAATCCACCCCCATCCCCACCATCCCTCTTGAAAACGAATCCCGATTGCGTTGCAACCGTGTCATAGCATTGTCGGGAAAAGATAACCGATATTTTCGTCCAGGTAAAACATATAACGATAATAATGGCTAAAGATTATAATGTCTTGATATTAAACACAATGTACGGCATTGAACGTAAATTTGTAATAAGCCAACACGGCTGATATTATCGCTAATATATCACTATCCACCTACGTTATTATATCTCTTTCATCATATCTCGAACGTCACGTGTGCGGGGGATATTCTAGGGGTTATATTCCCTCCCACACCCCCTCATTGGGCTTAAAATACAACGACTATGGGCGTTTATTTCGGGGAATTTCGTTTCGATTAACACGACATGAAATATCAGTAGTTCGCGCCGTGAATTATTTAACGCGTACACGCGTATAACATATGACAATGTAAACATTGAACGAACAATATTCGAAACCGTTTCTGACGGCATTCAAACGGTGGTTTCTATACCGTCACCAAATTATAATTAGGGCCCTAAAGAAATGTATATGTTTCATTTTGATGACAAAAAAAAAAAAAAAAACCTATTAATTTATTTTTAAGTTTAAAACTCTAATAGTAACAATATCGTTAGACACACATTCATGGCACTTAACGGTTCTGCTCATGGCCTTTTAAAAATGATTAACAACACGTTGAAAACGTCGACAATCAACGAATAGTTCAATAGGTTTTCATTTCGGATTTTATAGATATTTGTTCATTACAGCCACTGCAGTATTAGTTTTATTTATATCTAATACACTTTTATGAAAATATGAAATAATTCGAATAGCAATTGTTTAGTAGGGTTGTCGGATTAAATATACTCTGTTATGTGTGCTTTATCAGTTTGTCACTATGTATACGTCACATGAATCAGTTGGTCCAGAAGTCATTCAGTTAAATTCAAATTGATAAAAATTGCTGTAAGGACGTTCTATTAGTTCAATTTTAACTATAATATTTGTCTATCGAATATTTGGCAGTCACCAATACCCCTGTATCGTAATTCACGTCAGCGTCTCTCACCCCTAAAAAAAAAATAATACAACTGGAGGTTATTTTTTGATTTTATCTGGAGTTAAAAAAAAAGTAGTAAAAACGGGAAAATATTGCGTACAGATAGACATTCAACTCCCCCCCCCCTACTTTCTCAACTGCCAACCTACAACTTCAGTTCTCCCAGTTCACGTTTTTTTTTTTCCTCTAAATATTCCATCGAAATATTGCAACCGTGAAAATTTGCTAGCGGGTAATATTTCATACCCATAAC